CATACCTCGCTGTCACAGCTGGGGAAAAGGGAAAGCAAGGAGCTCAGAGCCTGCAAATTCCATGGTTTGAAAAGGCAGCAGCACCCCTGTAGGTGTCCATGTACACTGGAGCTGGGCAAACATTGTTTTTCAAGGTTGTTCTCACCTTGCAGCCCTTTGGGTCAGCCTGGCTCAGAGCAAGGAGTGGTTTGGGCTTAGGGCATCAATTATCCACAGGTTCTGAGGGACCCCCAGGCTGGAGCTACCCCTGCAGTGGGTTCTGCAGTGCTGCTCTCAGGAATGAGGCTTTTCCTCATGCCAGAACTCAGCAGCACAGGGATCCCCAGTGGGCCAGGGAAGTGGGGTGGCTGCTTCACCACTCTCATCCTCCAGGGTTCTTTAAAACCTCATTGGGAAATTTTTGGGATATTCAAAGGCACAACCAATCTCCAGGTTCATTCTGCCTTACCACAATTTGAGATTTACAATCCAGCTTGTCCTGAAAGGCAGTTTGGGTTACAAAAATATTCTGTTGTGCTCACAAACTGGCTCAAAAGCCAGTGTTATAATGAATATCCTGATGGTTTATAGGGCTGGAGCAGGAATAGAAGCATTCCCTTTCTTGTGAGCACCAGGAACTTCTGAGGAATTACTTTGAATGATACATGCCAACATAGATAACAGTAATTAGATCAAGCTACAAAAGTGTGAAAAAATGGGTTAAATATTAGATAAACTTCCTGGTAATAAGATATCCTGGGCTGTGGCATAGCCTGCCTGTGGAAGCAGTTTTGCATGCAGTTTTAGAGCTCAATTAATATATTTCTGTGTTGGCAGAGAAGGCCTACTCTTTTGATAATCTGATAGAGCATCTCTAATTCTTTCACCTTGGGTATATTAATACTGCACATAATTAAAATCGGTTCATGATAAATTAACTAATTTGCCCTTAGAGTGATCAAAGACCCTTTTGCCCTCAGGGTTTGTAGTAGCTGCTGTTCCCCCCCCTCCCCACCTCCATTTTAATCATCAGTCTGAAATGTTTATTGGAAAAAGAAAATTTTCCAGGAATTAGGCTCTGAAAGTCCCCAGCTCCTGCAGCTAGTGAAGTGTAAGGATGCCCTCTGCTGAGCGTGGGCTCAGGAGTTCTGGGTTGGAAACAGAATTGTCCCTTGCTGGGTACAGAAAGCATTGGCTGAGCAAGCTGGATGTCAGGTCAAAGTTCACTCATTCTGATGTGCATTGTGAATTGAACCCAAAGCACAACCTGCAGGTATTGGAGGAAGTATGGAAACTGTAGATAATTTACTCATTGGGATTTATAAACCCCAATAGCTCAGGCATCAGCTTTCTGCAGAAATATGCAGCATCTTTCTACTTCTGCAATCCAGTAACCTGGACATGGTGAGAAATATATTCAGTGATGCTGGAATACTGGTGCTGAGAGGTTCTAAACACATTAGAACAGTAATGTGTGGTAAAAAATATCACTGTTCCTCCTGAGAGCCTTTTTAGTCCTTCTAATGATGGTCAAGAGGAACACAATAATAAGGCAGTCATAAATATGACACGCATGAGTAGGTTAATCTACTTTCAAGTATTTCTTTGAAGTTTTCTCTGTGCCGTGTAGTGAATTCTGCCAAAAAACTTGTGGAACAGTTCAGAGGAAGGTGAGAATTGTGTGGATCCATTAGCCAAGTGAACTCTTCAAGAGGGATACCATGTCACTTCATTTCTGAAAAGATTTGAGAATTCAGAAAAACCACGAACAGCAATGGGAGAGCTAATCCTGTGCTGCCAGTTTAAATCAGGTCAAAATTTCCTATTTCTTTCATCTCAGTTAAGGCCAAGTCAGGACTTGTGTTGGTCTCAGATTGTTGGAGGAGGTTCAGCACCATCTCAGCTCCCTCTCCAGCCTCCTCCCTTTAGCATGCAGAGTATCAGAGAGGTCACTGCCCACTTGAAACTCAGCTCTGTGTGCCAGGAAAAGCAGCAATATTTTGGTGAGGCAAGTGGTGAGGGTTTGTCATTGAATTAACCATATAAATAATTCAACATACCTGAGGAAATTTGGAGGATGACAAGCTCAGAAATATATATTAAAACCCACAGTACTGAATTCTAATTAAAATTTATGTTAATAGCAGAATTTTCTTCTACAGAAGGTACTTTTTTTCCTAGCTCTGGTTTTAATCAGCTGAGTCTAATGCAAATAAATGATTCTGTAACAATTAACTTCATATATAATGGTACAATTTGGCTGGGAAAATGGGCTGAGAGAAACCTCATGAAGTGCAAGGTCCTGCACCTGAGGAATAACCCCAGGCACAAATGTCACTTGTGTCACTTATTTGTCCAGTGACTGAGCACTGGAGCAGGGTGCCCAGTGAGGCTGTGGAGTTTCCATCCTAGAAGACATTTCTAAAGCTGTGTGGGCAACCTGGGCATCCAGTATCTGGTAGCCTTGTTTGAGCAGGGGGCCAGGGCTGATCACTTCCAGAGGGGCCCTTGCCGATCTCAGCCATTCTGAAATAATAGTCCAGATAGCAAATTAGGCAAACATGGCCTAAAAGCAGATATATTCTGACAGCAACCACTACTCTTTCATGCATGGAGGCAGAGATTTCAGAGCAGCAGAGTCAATAAGAGCAGCAGCTGTGGATGTGAGCAGCACAGGGGGGTGTAAGCCCTTGATACCCAGCAGCAGTGCCCAGGGCCTGGCTGTGTGTGCTGAGCAGACCCAGAGCTCACTCTGCTGTTGCAACAAGCTGGATCAGCTAGTTCACATGAGGTGAAAATATCCTAAATCCTGAAGCTTGCCATCTGAGGATAAATTACTACAGGGGAATAGAGCCATATAAGTAATAATGTTAGAAAAAGTAAATTGTGTTATGCTCTATGCCTGTCTTTTCTAAATATTGTTTTAAGATGCATCTGAGAGCATCTCAGTCTGACTTCAAAGAACTGCAGCAAAACCTTCTTACATGGAAGGAATCACAGGCAGCTTTTTCCCTGCTGTTGAGTGGAGATGTTTGCAGCCTCCCAGGTCCTGAACTGGCAATTCAGAGCAGTTTGATTGCCTGCTTGATTGTTTGTGAGATAACGGTGAGATTGGCAGTGGCAGGGTAATTTACTGAAGATTGCAATGTCAGACAATATCCAAGGGGGCTCGTGAGCATAAAGATGTGATTCACATGACTGACAGGAGCCTGAGGGATTGATATGCCTATTCCAAGTTCAGGGTGTCATCACAAGTGTTTGGCTACAGCATCCCATAATCAGCTGCATGATGAGGTCATTACAGGCAGAACTTCTGCTCACCTCTAATAACAGCTATGCCAAAATATGATGCAGCTCAATAGGTAAATGTAAATTTGTCAGAGGGAGTCATTTATATCCTGTGGTTTGCCTGTGTTATTTCTAGTGTGTTGATAGGGTTTCCTTGCTTGGTGGTCATCTGAGAACTGGGTGGACTTAACAGTGGGCAAAGCTCAGTTCAGAGTTGTAGAGGTCTCACTGGGGGAGAAGCTGAGGAATTCTCAGAGCTTAATAGGAAAACTGCCTTGAGTTATACCCTGAAGCTAATGATGTCCTCAGAATGATTATATAAAGTGGGGAGAAAATTAGATGTAGCAAAACAGAAAGATCCTGCAGCCTTGTTGGAGAGAATTTTAAGATGAATGGAGCTCTTAATGTGAATAGGCGAGTGACCTTAAAGCAACATATAGCTCTCACAACAAGGTAGTTTGTCTGACTTAAATCTCCTTAGAGGCCTGAATGAAACATTGTCAGCATAACTTGGCAATTTTGTTTTTAAATCAGGTCAGGCACAGTCATTTCAGGCACACAGAATGGGCTGGAAATAAAAGGCTAATTGTAAAATAAGAATGTTTTTTGTAGTTTTAGATTGGTTTTTTCCTTTAGGTTGATGTTTTTCCAGTTATCTCTGTGCTGGTCTGTTGTGCACTTGAAAATCCTGAAAATGCATGAGTCATGATCTTAACCTGAGGTACTTTTGTCTGCTTCCATACTGGAATGCTCTCTCCCGTGTATGATTTTGAATGTATGTCCAGGCCATATTTGTATTCAGAAATCCCATTGATACACCTTGGGAAGTTTTACAGACATAAGTGGACTTCAGATTGGGCTCCTGATTTTTACCGGAGTAGATGAACAAATGTCTGTAAATTGTTAGCGATTATAATATTTCAAAGCAAATGGTTAATAATTTCTAAATTATAGTAGAACTCCATTGAGAGAACATATTTCAGTTAAATAATAATACCAAATGAAGAGATGATGATAGAATTGTTACTGTACCTGCTGTTATTGTTATTTATCTAAATATACAGATTGATCTCTCCCTTGATTCCCTTTTAATTTCTGGTGTTAAAATTCTCTTTTTTTCTTAAAAATGCATCTTAAAAAATATTAATGATAGATAACAATCTGTAATATGATGACTGAACCCACCAATTTTGTGACTGATATTCCTTGTCCAAGCATGCACACAAGCTGTGAGCCAGGTATCCATGGGAGGTGGGAATTCCAGCAGCCCTTCCCTGGGAACTGCCAAAATGGTTACAGTGTAATTTGTGTTTTACTTTGGTAATGATAGCTTTGTCATCTCCATCTCCTCTCAGCTCCTCAAATAGAACAAATAAAATCAAACAGCGTGATTCTCAAGACAAAAAAAAAAAAAAAGAAAACAACCAAACAAGCAAATAACTTAAACAGAAATCCTTTATTGTTTCCACTTCCTTTTGCCTAATTTCAGCACTTGACAGATTTATTGAGATTTATCCTCATCTAACCCTGGTTTACATTAATTGTAGTGGTTTTTAAGGAGTGTGCTCCAAAGACTCATCCTCATGGCACTGTTGGCTGAATTACCAGGTTTGGGGCATGGGGATGCTATGAAGACTGAACTTTAACCATTTTTCCCAGTGCCTTAATCTTTCCATGGGTGTTACTGCTCCACAGCTCCGTGCTGGATCTCAGTGATGCCTGTTGCCTTTCAGATGGCCTGGTGGACTGCCTGGACCCTGACTGCTGCCTGCAGGCCACCTGCCAGAACAGCCTGCTGTGCCGGGGCTCGCGGGACCCGCTGGACATCATCCAGCAGAGCCACGGCGCCACGCCCACCGTCCGCTCCTTCTATGACCGCATCAAGCTGCTGGTGGGGAAGGACAGCACCCACATCATCCCTGGGGACAACCCCTTCAACAGCAGGTGAGAAATCCCCTTCAACTGCTGGTGAGATAGCCCCTCCAACAGCAGGTGAGAACCCTTCAACTGCAGGGAGCAGCTGGGAACGTGACACCTGGCTTGGTTTGAACAGCCAAGTGTCTGTTAAGGAAGGCAGGAGCCTCCCCTGAAATGGAAAATGTAAACCCACTCCCTCCAAACTGTTATAATTTTGAAATTAAAAGGCTCTCAGGCAAAGATATGGGAATAGGAATAACAGTTCTTTACTAGAAAAACTAAAAATAGAAATGTAATAGTACAAACAACAAAAAAAAACCACAGAGTCAGAACATGCCCTGCCCCCTGTGTGTCAGGGGGTGTCCCAGCCCCATCCATGGGGGCTCAGCCCTCCTGCAGTGCCAGCTGTGGCTCTGCTGCAGCAGGGATCCTGCACAAGGGGGGAGTTTTCCTCTGCAGCTCCAGGGCTGCTGCAGATGGGCCTGGGCTCCCTCTGGCCATGCAGGGCAGCAGAAAGCTGCTCCTCTGGCAATGCAGGGGGCAAAGGCTGCTGTGCTGGGCCAGGCTCAGATTGGATCCAGGTAGGAATGCTTGGCTCCTCCCCTGGGCGGAGCATCTCCCCATGGGATGCTGGGATTGGATCAGCCCTGCAGGGACACTCAGTGGCCATGGACAGCAGAGATCTCCTGGAGGGAGGGTTGGTGTGGGAGAGAGAAAGGAAAAACTGCCCATGGACAGCAGAGAACTGCCCCAGCTCTGACAGATGGGAATAGGATACACAGCCCCATTTTCAACCTAAGACACACTAGATCTGTGCATTGCATGGGAAAATTTCTGCCTGTGATTCTGTTTGTGGTTCAACAGGAGCTGCTGCTTGCAGGTGCTTCATCTCAGGCACTGATCACACTGAGGCCACGCTGGTGCAGTTTATGATGTGGCCTCTATTTTATAACAGAGTTTTATTAGCATTTCAACAGTCTGGCAGCACCCAGAAGAAGGTTTCTTCCACTGAGTAGGAGCTTCTGAGGTTTATATTTTATGAAGACTGCAGTCTAGAGGAAGGGAAAACACTAACTAGTTCCAGTTCATTTATAATGTAGTGCCATTAGCACAAATTTCAGTAATGGAATAACATTTCAAATAATTTTAAAAATCCATTGATTTATGGAGTTTTATTATTTATTCCTTACATTAAACCATTTTACTTGTAGCATTGATCCACCTGACTGGGTTTTCTTTTTCTTCTTGTTTTTTTATTTTTCTATGTGTGTTTTCTAAGACTATTAATTATATATTTGCAATGAATCTGAAAGCCAGCACATCATTAATTAATATTTGATGCCATTGTATGCTTACAAGAAGATTGGTATTTATCAATATTATATAAATAGGTCTCCATGGAAAGATGCTAAGAAATTGATGAGTATATTATTTATGTTCATATCACCAAAGTTAAAACTGAAGAAAGAGCTTCATTTGAGATAACACCCAAAGGATTGCACTTCATTACAGGAAGTTTTCTCAGTCAGGATCCCATTACAGGCTTAGTGGGTGATGTAGAGCATGTCCCTAAATATTTGTCTGTGAAAAGAGGATCATAATGTTTCTGGATACACCAGGCAGGTCCCCATTGTACTCACCCCTGTGTTGGGCACAATCATTTCCATATTCCATCAGGAAATCCCCGTTGGATGCTACCCTATGCAATATACATTTTATGCTATTCTATAAAATACTCCATGCATACACATGTGAAGTTGTTAAAAAAATAGAAAAAAATTGTTCTGCTTTCACCTTTTTTTGATCCTGGAAGTGTTTAAGGCCAGGTTGGACAGGGATTGGAGCAGCCTGATCTATTGGAAAATGACCCTGGCCATGGCAGGAGGTTGGAACAAAATGATCTTTAAAGTCCCTTCAAACCCATTCTATGGTTCTATGAATTAGTGCTCTAAACTAAACAGAAGCTGAGCAGTTCAATCCTGAGGCTCCTTTAAAAAAAGACTCATTGGAAACCTTAGTTTTGGGGGTTTTTTTATGTTCCTCATGGTAGGACTCTCAGTTCTGTTTTATTCATCTGAGCTACACTGCAGATTTTAACACATCTTTGCAAATGACCTGTTAATGATGTTAAAATTGGCCTTCACCATTAAGTTTTGAAGTTATTTCTGATAATTCTATGGCTCAGCTGCTATTTTTGATACCAATTTTAGGCAAATCTAATGTATAGTGTCAAATTGTAAGGTTTAGAACTGATGGGTTTGTCATTTAAAAGTGCCACAAAGTTGAAATCCCAACTTTTCCATATACTGAAGCTGCCATTGTCTCAAAAAGTAGCTCCTGTGTTTGTAAGCTGTTTGCTGACCTCAGTCTGTCATTCCGTTGAAAGACATGAAAAAGTGAGACAAAATAATGGTTTGGGGTTTTTTTCCCAGTCTTAGTTTAAGAAAAAAAAGATATTTCCTACTGCAAAGGAATAAATAACAAAATGCATTGATTGCTAAAATAGGTAAATCTCAATGATTTTTTTTTTCTGTGCAGAAACAAGATTAAATGATGTTTCCAGGGGGGGAAAAAAACCACATTTAAATTCCTTGGTAAAAAATTATATAATTCCTGTATCAGTTCAGTTTTTCTGTTACACTTTTAAAAGATTACCAAAGAAAGGTGATTGTATGTGTGACTATTAGTCAAAACATTGCTTCTTATAAGTCCATATTTTAACTACATTTTAGCTTATTCTAATATCTATTTTGTTCCTTATTTAAAATTTTAGAAATAAAAAGGAATATTATTGACCAAAATATTTTATTCAAATTATTTCCTAAAATACTAAAATTGAAGGTAGAAAAAATTAAGTCATGGGCATTATTAGTTTTCTTCTGCCATCTGACAATGTCTTTCTAAATCTACTTTCTGCACAGTTTCCCTAGAGAAGCTTAAGTGACTTTTTTTCCTGCATCTATTTCTGTGTGTTTGTCACATAAAATAATTCAAGCAAAATGAATAATGCCAAGACAATTATCTTGGTCCAATGTGTTCCCAAGCAGATTTTTCTCAACAGGTTTCAATTTCTATTAAATCCCATATTCTGCTACAAAATGTTGATTTAGCAAATTAAAAATTGACCTGACGGGTCAAGAAGCACTTGAAAGTCCTAAAAGGAGAGTAACAGAAATGGCTCGTTTTTATTAATTAGATTTTTTTACTGTAGTAGAGAAGAAAATATTGCACCCTGTTTGGAATAAAAATATGAGGAAATAATAGTTAAATAGCCAATATAATGCAGTTAGAAATGTACCTCCCAGCCCCTGAACATCTCAGAGTGAGCAGAATAGAGCTGCAAAGCATCCCTGGTGTGGCTGATGGAAGGAGCTGTCCTGTGCCAGGGGCCCAGACCGGTGAATATATAAATCCTTTCACCCATGACTACAGCAAAGTGCAGTTTTACAATCCCTGAGATTATGGGTTAAGAGCAGTTCACTCTCCCTGTTTTCACCTTCTCCAGTTTTCACATTTCCAGTGTAGCAATGGAAGCCATCACAAAGAGCTTTTCCTTTTCCATTGCCCTTTTACCAAACAGTTTCTCCCTCCCCATTCTGCCTCTCTCAGGGCTCAGGAAGATGGAAGGGAAAGGAGCCAGGGGCTGGGAACTCCTCTCCAGCTGGGAGCAGCAGCACTTTGTGCCTGCTGTGCACTTAGCAGCAGCAGAGCACTTGCCAAAGAGAAAAATCTGACTGTGCCTCTTAGAGGAATAGCTCATCTTCATCTCCCTTAGGTTAAACAAAGCTGCTTCTCCTGCTGGCCAAAGAAATGCTTTGTCTTGCCTGTGTGTAAAGCTGGACTTTAAACCAAATCCTCCTTTTGGCAAAGTGCAAGCAAGGGTTCCAAACCAGGCTGGAATGCAGTGTTCAGGTGTCAGTCACTCCCTGAGATGAGGGAATTTGAACCTTGATGTGAAGAATTGGTGATACAAAAGAGAGATGTGGCATTGCACCACATTTGTCAAGTGTCAGGCACCCACAGGAGCGGTACTGTGCCCTGCAGGGAGGTTTTGGAGTCTCAGTGTGGCTGCAGGGACACAGCTTTGGTCTGGCTGAATGGGAGGGAGCTTTGTACTCTGTAAAGCCTCATTAGACAATGAGGCAAACCCTTGTTAGGCAAGAAAAGCACTGACTGCCATTCTGTGTGCACTTCTCACTGTATAAACAAGCATTTTCTTCATTTAGGTGTATAGAGGGAGCTGGGCAATATTGTGGTCCCTCAGTATTCTAAAAACCTTTGGAGTAAAGTGTATTTAGAGTAAATGAGGTACAGGTGTTCCACTACTTCACTTATAAATGACATAACCTCCCTTTGTAATTAGCTTTACTACCTTTAATTCTCTTTCTTTTGCAGTCTTGTGTCTCTGATAAGAGGCCAAGTGGTGACTACAGATGGGACTCCCCTAGTTGGGGTCAACGTGTCGTTTGTCAAGTATCCAAAGTACGGCTACACCATCACTCGCCAGGATGGCACGTGAGTGTCCCTCTTCCCTGAGCCCCTGGGTGCTCTGTGGGGTCTTTGCTCATTAACAGATGGTGTGATCTAATGGAACCATGTGGCACCAGGCATTGCCTTCCTCCCAGGGCAAAGAGCTATTAAGTAAACACAAAAGTAATTTTTCACATGGCGTTTTGAATAGTAACTGCATGTAAATACGGACGAGCTGACTTTGATAATGACGTGTTAGCAGGCACACTCCTTTCAAATAAATTGCTCTATATCTATGAAAACATTTGTGGGCTACAGCAATATCCAGCTGAGACTAGAAATATTTTATTTTAAAATGCCGAGCTAACACTTCTAGGAAAGAAAGAAAACCTCATTATAGAATAGTATATTTTGTTAAAATTTCCCTTCTGTTTCTCTTTGCTTTTCAAGAGACACTCTCTTTTGAGTTTCTTCAGGGTAGAATGTAATCAAAAGATTCTAATTGAATATATTTAGACAATTTCCTGCTGTGCAAAAAAGTGCTTTTCCCCCCTTGTATCAGCTTATTTGAAATGCACACAAATTCAGATAAACAAAAGTCATTGTGTCATGGTTTATCTGGTTTACTGGCTGTGGTAACTAAAACAGTTTATCTGACACAGGCATTGTAAACATTTGCCATTTTATCTTGATCTTGCATAAAAACAATGGAATTTAAATAATTAATAGGAGTTGACTGAACTATAGGGATTATTTAAGTTCCATACTTTCCAGAATATTAATCTGTTATAATAAAAGTAAAATGTTGATTTCAGTATTTTAAAATTGCAGTAAATGGTGAGCTGAACTATATTTAAATCTGCATAGATTATTGATGTCATTGAGTAATTTGTTATGTTGCCAGCATTTACATAAAACAAATGATACCTGTTTCTGTTGTCAGAACAACCTGGAAGCATTTCTCATTTAAGCCAGGTTTGAAATGCCTGTGCAGCTCCACATTACTGCTGTGATTGTGTAGGGAGTTGGAATTTAGGAAATTAGGTTGAAACACCTAATTTCTCTTAAAAATGATAGATCAGTTATCTTGGGGACAGGAACTCTTACTTGTAGAACACTTCTCATTACTATTCCCTTACTGCCATGTGTCCCATTCTATATTTGATGGACACGATCTTTTAGGAAAGGAATAATTCAGTGTCCTGCTCAGGATGCACTTGGCTTCTCTGCTGTTTCTATATAAAAGTGACTTGTAATAATAAATGTGGTGGTTTGTTTGTTGGGTATTTTTTAAATTATTTCATACAGAATTTATAATTTTATCAGAATGAGCTTTGTCCAAGTGACTTCAAATCATTGCTTGTCTTGGCTGGTTTTCAGCAGTTTAGTTGCCAGAGGTTCACATCCCATTATTGATCATTGGAACCATGACATTTAAAACATAATCATGGTCTGCTCACTCTCCCTACCTCTGGTGATGTGGGGAGAGAATCACAAGGGTAAAAGTAAGAAAAATCTTGCATTGAGATAAAAACAGTTAAATAACTGGAATAATAATTATAAAAACTGTAGTAAAAAGGAAAATAACAGAAAGACAAATTAATTCCCAGCCAGGTTCTGAGCAGCTTTTCCCCTAGTTTATATAATGGCAATTACATATCACTGTATATTACTATATCACTGTATGATCTGAGATATCCCTCAGTTCAGTTGGGGTCAACTCTTCCAGCTGTGTCCCCTCCTGGCTCTCATTCTGCTCCCTGGTGTGATGGGGTGAGGAGGAGGAAAGGCCCTGACTCTGTATGAGCATTGCTCTGCTTTAATAAAAGCACCCCTGTGTTATCATCATTATATCCTGAATCCAAAACTCAGCACTCCGCCAGCTACTAGGAAGAAAATTAACTCTATCCCAGCCAGAACCAGACAAATACCCATTGCTGTTGGTATGCCTCTGTAGCTGTCTCATTAGCCAGGAGGGTGACTACTGGAATTACTCAGTCTTGCCCTTCTAAAGGCCACACTTTTCTAGGTTTGACTTGGTTGCAAATGGTGGAGCATCCCTGACACTGCACTTTGAGCGGGCCCCGTTCATGAGCCAGGAAAGGACAGTGTGGCTGCCATGGAACAGCTTCTATGCCATGGACACGCTTGTGATGAAGACAGAGGAGAACTCCATTCCCAGCTGTGATCTCAGTGGCTTTGTCCGTCCTGACCCAGTCATCATTTCATCACCACTTTCAACTTTCTTTAGTGACGCTCCCAGCCGCAATCCCATTGTGCCAGAAACCCAGGTAAGAGCAGTGTGAGTGAGCAGGGTGGGGAAATCAGTGGGCAGGTGACACTTCTGACCTGGCACAGGTCACCACGTGTCCCCTGCAATGGCTACAGCAAATGTCTCTGCAGAGCTGCATTTGTTCTGACAGGTGCCAGGTTTTGTAATGAGGGCTGCAGGTTTATGTCACCCAGACACATTTATCTTTGATCACCTTGCACTCTCCCATTATCATACAACATATCAAGTATATCTGTGTATTTCTGTTGCCAGCTTAGGTGTTTCAAGAGAATTTTGCAAAGGCTTGGCATGTGGTGCTGGCCACAGACTGTTTCCTTATTTCTTAATTAGGACAAAGGCAAACTCTGTTGGTGCTATTTTTTTTCTCTGCTGTATTCAGTTTTATACTGTTAGTGGAAGTTGTGGGTTCCTATGATATTTCTTATGTTACCCTTGCATATAACTTGCAGTAATAAATGTTTGTACTTATTTGCCATTTTGCCACCAGTGGGCTCTTAAAAAGTTGTGTACACAGACACCAAATAATTATTTGTCAGAAATGTCACCTGAACTGTGTTGGTTTGAGGACATCCACTCCCAGTAAGAGAAAGACATAAGCTCAGAAGAATACACAAGGTGATACATTAAAAAAAAAAAAAGTAAAATGATTAATGTAAAGTGTTTTATGTCTTTCCTTCCCAGGTTCTTCATGAGGAAATTGAGATCCCTGGCTCTAGTATAAAGCTCAGCTACCTGAGTTCCCGCACTGCTGGATACAAATCCTTACTGAAGATCATCATGACCCAGACCCTGGTGCCACTCAATCTGATCAAAGTTCATTTGATGGTAGCAGTAGAAGGGCATTTGTTCCAAAAATCATTTCAGGCATCTCCCAACTTGGCATATACATTTATCTGGGACAAAACAGATGCCTATGGTCAGAAGGTTTATGGGTTGTCAGATGCTGTAGGTAAGTCAGCACACACAAGCTCCAAGACTTTCCAAGCAACACCTATAATTCTAAATAAGAAAACTGCAAACTTCCTTATGGAGGAGCACATGTAGACTGAACAGTTCTTGTCTCCCTAACGCAATTTATCTTTGTATTATGGTTCTTTTATACATTCAAGATAATATTCAGAGGGTCTAAACTCCATCAGTGTGCCTGAGTTTCCTGCTCAGTACCTGACTTAGAAGGTTTAAACCAGGCAATATTAAAAACTGGCCACAGGAACTTAGGGGAGACCTAATCCATCATTATAATTTTGTTTTCTTTAGTTATAAAATGATCCTCATGCTGGACTGGCTGGCAGTCTGCAGTGCATTTGGGTTTTCACACATACCCTTATTGTAGTCTCTTGTGGTATAACACATTTGAAATGAAAATGCTGTTCCTCTAATGCTGTTCAGTCTTGTAGTTCTACAGCTATTTTTAGTTAGCTTGGTTCTAGTGGGTGGGAAGAAGAGTGATCATCATAATATTTTTCAGTTTTCATTGACTGTCTGAATAATTTTAATACAGCAGTGTTAAAAATGGGCATCAGAGCTGTGCCAGTGTGGAAAGAGTAGCTTTTTTTTTTTTTTAATCTTAATTATTTTCTATAATTTCTAAATTCTTCTTTGCTATAGGTTTACTTTCTTATGTTATTGCATGGGATATTGCTTTCCAGTGTAATTGTGCTTAAATGCACACAAAATTTTCACTGCCCTTTGGTATATAGTATGTAAAATGAATATGCTGAATAAGTGCTGTGAACATCTGGCTAATTAAGAATTTATCTTTTCCTGCTATCTGATACTTTTAATTATTTAATAAAATTTTACTGTATTTTAAAAATTTTATTTCTCACTCTCCTCTCAGCAAACCCATCACTTCCCAGTGTGAGCTATTATAATAGAAGTGATCAGGTCCCTGCAGAGTACATGTGAATGAAGTTTTAAATTTGTGTCTAGTCAAAGATCTGAAGATAATATTGTAGAATAAAAGTGAGGAATATAATCACTCCATCTTCTTGAGGAGGCTGGGGGACTGGAATACTCCTGCTCTGGACATTTAATTCAGTGTTTGTTCAGCAAGTATATTAGATTTTATTTCATTTCAGTGTCCGTGGGGTTTGAGTATGAGACTTGCCCCAGTCTCATTTTATGGGAGAAGAGGACAGCACTGCTGCAAGGATTTGAACTGGATCCCTCAAACTTAGGAGGATGGTCTCTGGATAAACATCATGTTCTTAATGTCAAGAGTGGTGAGTTAGTTCATTCCTTGTGATTGCTGTCCTACATGGAGTTTTTATTTGCATTAAACTTGCAATTTCTCCACTCTTTTTATTTCATCTTTAGCTCACTAAGATATGAGGCATATATCAGTTGTCAGAAAATTTCTGTAGAATTTTAACACATTTTTTACTGTTCTAGAAATGCTGAATTTCTTAAAGTCCTAATCTTTATCCTTTATTCTGTTTTTCATTTATTCCCCTGTAATATCTTTCTGTCTTCCCTGTTTTCCTCATGTTAACCACATTTATTCCTGGTTCCTTTTGCTTGACCTCCTTTTCCTCCTAACCTGAGATGCAGCTTACAAGGAGTATGAGTCTGGGACAAGATACTGAGTCTCCTTTGCCTTTCTCAATAGTCACCTGTTTGTTTTTTCCTCACCTTTCTTTTTTGTCTTCCCATATCCTGATCTGAATCTTCACAATCTTTGTATTTTACCAGCAACTCTTTGGGAGCTGAATGCTCAGAACACATTTTATTTGTTCCCTGCAAAATGTCGTTTGCAGCCTTCCTGCTGCTCATTACCAAATAACAAAATGTATTTCTGTTTAATAAATCTAAATTATTGTTCAGAATTGGCAAGATCAGGCTATTTGAACTCACTTGCAGTGCTGGGCAGTGGATCCACATTTGGGTCCACATGCCAACAGAGAGTGTTGCCACCAGTGGAGAGCCACTTATGTTAGGGTCATGCAACTTCCTTCCCACAAGAACATGAGGCTGAAAGTTTCCAGCCAAATTTCCACAGTTTCTGATGACACAGAATATGGTCACACTATCAGAAAATCCACTCCTTTCTTGGAGCAGGGGTCTGCTCTTTGAACAAATATTTTGAAGATAAATCCTATCTTGAAGGTATTTTCTTGAAGTCTAATAGAGATCTGTACCACCAGCTTCCCTCTTGCCTTTTATCATTGATCCTTAGCAGCCCTTCTGGGAGTTTGATATTTCTCCTATCTTTTCATTTTCTGAGCTATCATTTTCTCTGGTTCCTCCATTTCTCATTTTTCATTTTCCATTAAAAAAGTGTGAAGGACTGAGAGGTGGAAGGAGAACAGTAAGGTTGGCACAGAATTCCAAACAAAACATGATACAGGAAACTGGAGTGAGACACAAATATGGAGCAGCTCTTCTCCACCCACTCAGAAACCTAAACCACAGTCCCAGGCCAGAGCTGTGTGGCAAGGTTTTCTTTCACAACGAATACCAAAGGACTCTTGAGTGTAGGTTTGGGTCTGTGGGTGTGTATGTGTGTGGGTTTTAACACTGAATCTTCATTACACCTTTATTTTTACAACTGCAAAATCCTCCTGCTCTTTTTGCACCATTGAAAAACCAAACGCCAGAGTCATTTCAATGTGCAGTCCTTAAAAGCAGCTGTTGAAAAGAAAACAGCCTCAAGTCCCCTGCAATGAACAGTGGTAATAACCACTTCTTCTCCTCTCTGTCCTTAGGTATATTGCACAAAGGCAACGGAGAAAATCAGTTTCTCACTCAGCAGCCAGCTGTGATAACCAGCATTATGGGCAACGGGCGCCGCCGAAGCATTTCCTGTCCCAGCTGCAATGGCCTGGCAGAAGGAAATAAGCTCCTGGCCCCTGTGGCACTGGCAGTGGGTATTGATGGAAGTCTCTTTGTTGGGGATTTTAACTATATCCGCCGTATCTTCCCCTCCAGGAATGTCACCAGCATCCTGGAGCTGAGGTAAGGCTTCACCTCAGCGCTTCACTTCTGGAGCCTGTGCTCAAATCAGCCTTTACCATTACTTCTTATAATTTTGAAAAACATTGTCACTTTCAACCTATTTAAATTCCAGTGGAGAAATGGGGCACAGAAATGCATAGTTCAAAGTCTGTAACTTAACCTGAGCAGTGACTAAAGTGAAGGATTTAAGAGCAGAAATCAACTTGTGCAGAAAGTACAAAGCATCTCTTTCTGTCTCCTTAGTAATCACTGATTCTGTCCTCCCTCAGTGCATCTTTTAGCTTGGTTTGAAAAGTCTAGAATTGACTGCCCTTAGGTACTGAGCCACAGTGACAGGCAGAGGTGTAACAATCTCATGAGGTCAGAGGGAAGCTTCTCCTGCCAGTGGTTTTGAGATCCACTTTCACATTTCTTCTCCATGCTTGTGAGTCTATTTCTGTAGGTTGACAAGTGCAGTTCAGGTTGACATACAGATTCATTTTGCATCATCAGAACTCTTTTTAAGATTTTAACTCTTTCCCCTTGTCCCGTGCCCCGCTCCAACCTTAAGATTTGATCGCTTCATAGGGAAGGCATGAGTGTAGAATGTATACCACTTCACCCATTTCTGTTCCATCTCCTTTTTTCATTTTGCCAGGAGAGGCAAGAGCTGTTGCTTCAAACCCTAACTCATGTAACTGACCTGATACTTACAGCACTACTGAGTATTTGCAGAAAAATGAAGAAAAATAGCATGCCCTGGCTGTCTGCTGCCCCTCCTGGAGCCCACTCAGGCAGCAGCATTGGTGCTCCTGGAAATTGGATACGACTGCAAAGTACATTGAGTGAATTTAGGTCACAAGTCTCTTTTTAATGATATGACTAATAAGCAATTCCTCTGCTTCCACATTTAGTTTTTAATTAGTGGGAAAAAGTGCAAAATTATTGGACTGTTAAAGAATAGGAGGCCTAGCTCTATTTTACACCTCTCTTCCATTCATGTCATTCTGTTGATGTCACTATTGTGAATTCTGATTCTATAGAAAAGAAAAGAGATCTGATTCAGGCCAATTCAACTCTGAAATCACTCTCTGACACCTACCTCATACACCATCAGGCTGCCTCATTATATTTTTTTTTAAAGTCATGGATCATCCAGTGCTTTCTGCTAGCAGCTCAGTTTAAACCACAGAAGGTAGCTGGCATGGAAGTGTGACCTGCTATAAATATTTATATCAATATGCACTATAACTCTGCATTATACAGAATATGCTAATTATTTTTTTCTAAGTTGTTCAGATCATTTTATCTTTGTAGTAAATAGGACTACAGCTTTATAGGTGAGGAGAAACATTTTCAGATTAGGATATTTCTTATAGTGCATTTTTATGCACCTCACCAATATCAGCTAGTGACAGTTTGCTAGCCCACCTTGTGTTTGAAAATATTGCCTCAAAATTTACAACAGTATTAGTGTGAGTACTTTGCTTCCTCTCTCTGTGAGAGATTGAGAGGGAACTTGGGTTTTCATCACAAGGGAAAATTGAAAAGGACATCAGTAAAATAATAGAGGATGGATTTTTATCTGCTGTTGTCCACTTCCTCCTTTATGAAAGTCTGTTTTCCATGGCATAGTTTCTTTAGCTTCTGTTATAACTAGAAGCAATTAACAATGAAGCTGATGCATTGTGAGTGCTGTTGGACAGCTGCAAAGGACTTGACATACAGATTTTTAGGATTTGCATTATGATGTCTTTTAACCCCCGTTCCTCTAAAGGGAATTAAGGTCCATTCCAGCAAACATAATCTATAGCAGTAATTGTGATTCATTGCTCATCTTGAAATCTGCATGAGTTACATGGGTAAGAGTTTGAAGATTTGAGCCATTTAAGTGTGAATGAGAGTAGAGTCTTCAGCTCATATCAAGTAATTTGGATTATGTTGCAATCAGTACATCCTCAAATATTGCAAACCAAAAACATCGCTTTGTTTAGATTTCACAGCTGATGTCCTTTTGGTTTCACATAAGCCCCTATAAATCTTGAGTGCCTTTATGTGTCAGAATATCCCATTGTACATATTTCCTTCACACTGTGCTTTGTGAAGGTGCCTGGTTGAATGTCCAGCAGGAATTTGGGCTGCAGCACTGCACGTGGGGCTGCAAGCTGGGGCTGTGCCTGGAGTGCTGCAGCCCAGGAGTTACAAACCCCCTTGCTCTGTTCAGTGCATATTCCTGGATGGAAATTACACCAACACAGTGAGATGCTGTGTGAGTTGAGAGTGTGTTCATTTTCTTGTGGGAAGTAGAGAGCACTTTTCCTTGGGCTTTGTGTCTGAGCAGTAAGCTGTGGATCAGTTAATGCTGTTTATCTCCCATTGTACAGTACCTTACTGCTCACTTAGAAGGGGCTTTTTTACCCTGACATTGGCTTTATAGACTTAAACAGACACCAAGGAGCATCCAAACTTGCTTTAAGCAATTATTTTAGAGACTAGGAGGAGAGAAAAACAAACTGCATAGTAAAAATGTGTCTAGAAATAGCCTGTTGGAAAACTACTTTGATTAAAGAGGCTGCCTCCAACTGGCAGACAATGTCCAAAACCAGTGCTTCCCCCTGCCCAGTTCTGTATTCAGAGAACTGCCAGTTTCTCTCACTCCTAGCCCCCAAGCTACACACATTTCCATGGGAAAATTCTTTCAGTGGTTCAGAAAGTTTCCTAAATATGAGGGGAGGGGGGTGGGGGCAGGGGTGTCCTATAGGGAATTAGCTTGCAGCTCTACCCCTCCCAGTCACTCTTCATCTGGAAACGAAGCTAAGGCTAGTGCTGAAAAGAGATATCTTCTCCTGTGTCCTTTTGTAAAATAAAACAAATACTATGTTTGCTTTACCATCTATTCTTCAGCTAACTGTTTGTTCTTTTTTCTTCTGTTCCCTTTCTATAAAGAAATAAAGAGTTTAAACATAGGTAAGACATGAGCTCTTTCCCATATAATTTGATATGGTTTGTTTGCTTCATTGTGTTTGCTTTTTGTGTTGTGCTTCTTGTGTAATGTTATGTTCTTCATGTACCATATATAGAAACATTTTTATGTGCTAATTGTGTGTTATGAATATGATAAGCATTAGCAATTACGAAATGCAGTCAAAAAGCAGCCAATAAGTCCTGACAGTAATTAGAAATTTCTAGTAGAATGCAAGTATAATGAACCCCAAGCTAACTTCTAGATAAACACCTCTCCCTGCTGTCTATAATTGGTCTAAATGGTCAAGGTAAACTACAACAGCATTTTCACAAATGCCAGAAAGGTTCACAAAAGCACTAATGACTGCATATAGGTCAAAAACTCATTTTCTGGTCATTAATGATTTTCTGAACCCGCTGTCTTTTGCCATAATTTAGTTTATATTTCTTTTTTCAAACCCATTTAATAGCCAGCCTGTGGGGCTGGCTGTGTGCAAGCACTAGAAGCAGTCACTGTGAGATTCAGGAGGGAGGCCTGACCCTCCTGCATGTCAGGAGGAGAGCATTAGGACTTCTGGATGGCTGCAGCGTAGGAAACACTTGTGCCTCCTGACATGCCGCACCTGGGACAGGGAGGATGTTCACCCTGGAGGAAATTAAGGGCAAGAACATGAAGAGCTCTTGTAAACTGTTTCATAGTGTCCTGTGCATTACCCTTTTTAAACCATACTTTCCATTTCTGTGACAAGTTGATGGATAGATGGTCTGGACTAAACAGGATCATTTCCCCTTAACAATATATTTTGGCATAGCAACGCCCCTAACTGTTCTTATCTGGGTGAATTCATTCACAATTTGCTGATGATTATTGGTGACGCTGGAGGCTCCTCATTTGCTTCAACTAAGCCTAGTTAATTTTCCATCTGCTTAGAGATTTGCTCTGGACAGCTTCTCTTTTGGTAAAGCTTAAAGAAAAGCTGCTCTTGAAACAGAATTTGATGCGCCTGTGAGAAGAACAGGGAGAATGAGCTGCACTTGCTGCTGGGGCCCAGGCTCCCTCAGAGAGCAGAGTGAGGCTGCAGGTGCTGTGACCACACATTCACTCGGGGGCTGGAGGCACAGACTTTATTGGCAGTGGCCTCTGAGCTACCCTGAATGCCATGGAAAATCTTTTAAAGCAAGTTACAATCTTTGGCCTTGTATAATTCAAGTGAAAGATTGCAAGGGTGCAGAGAAAAGAGAGGCAGAGGTCTTTAATTGCTCGGATGCCAGTTTGAGAAATATTGAGTACTCATTTATAAAACAAATCCCTGTTTGAGGTAATAGTCTCATTGATTCTTTGGGAGCACAGTGAGTGCATGTTACCTTCCAGCAGTCATTTTCTGTCAAATTCCCTCAAAAATTTGCTTTGAGTTTTTCACTATCTGTTACCTGACCTAGTTCAGGAAAGAGGGGAGGAGTATGGAACAGGTCTGCAGCTCCAGTGAGCTGCTCTCTGATCTGGAACCAAAGCTTGTGACTGATCCTTGGCACAGCTGCCCTGGGGGAGATTCCAGAGGAGAAAGGCAGGGTAAGCTCCATGGATGCACCATGACTGCAGGAGAGGAGAGGGAGTATTCCCATATCCCATGTTCTGCCATTGCTCTTTACCCTGACTCATGTCTTATCCCATCCTAGGGCTGGCTGAGGGAAGGCAGGGGTGGGCACAGCCTGGCAAAATCATGTGTAAAATAAGACAGACCCTTCCATTCCTGCAGGGTGGCTGCTGCTCCCCTGGGCACTGTGTGAGCAGCTCTCTCTCAGCACTGAGTCCAGCAGGACCCTCCCTTCCAGGTGCCAGCAGCAGTGTCTGTGCCCAGCTCCAGCCTGTGCCCAGCTCCTGGAGGTGCCCATTTGGCCAGGATGGGGGATGTGCCTTTTTGCACAAGGGCCGTGCTAAAGGCACCAGCTGCAGGGCAGCCTTGAGCTAAGTCTGGCTGTGTTTGTGAGGCGCAGCACAACACCAGTGCCACAGCAGAGTGTTCTTCAGTGTGAGGGGAAAGCATGGTGGGAGAACAGAGCAGAGTTTGGAAAGGGTTTGGAAGCAATGACAGACATGCAGGTGTTTGTATGGCTCAGATACCTGGGAGACTGGAGGAATCTCTAAAGTGGAAAGAACTATTTTTCTATGTTGCAAAGAAGATGGAGCATTATTTTGGAGGGATGAGAAGGACTGTGATGAGGGTGTAGTGAAGAGGTGCAGTCTGCTGCTGAAGACAAACTTGGGGAATAATGAGATTGTCCTCTAATCTCAAGCATGTCACTAGTTTCCCTGCATAACTTTGTCTACACCACTTAACCTCTCTGTGCCTCAGTTTCCTCCTCTGTAAAATGGGTGCTACACCCATCTTTTTAAAGTACTCTGAGATCCATGCATGAAATAAACCTGCCAAGTATTTTTTTTTCGTTTATTGTATTTTTTCATCTCTAATTTCTACACTCCTAGACTTCAGCAGATGGTATTGCCTCTGCCTACTGAATTGAGATCCAACCAATCTCCTTCCTACTTTCTACAGTCTTAGAACAAACCACTATTGACCTAAACCCATGGCATGTCAAAGACTGGCATAGAGGAAAATAACTGTAGAAAGTGATATTTTGGGGCCTCCTCATTCCTCCAAATGTGGTCATGACCACATGGCCACAGTTATCTTGGTGTGCCGATGGATCCATCTGCCGAAAGTGGCTTTATGATAGTTTCAGCGATTCTGCTCAAGAAATGGCTTAATCCATCATAGCTTACCTCTGTGTATCCTCACTCTTGGAGATGGGCACTTTTGCCACATGAAACTAGGAGTGTGGATATTTGGAGGCAAATATCTCTGGTTACTGGTAAGTAACCTTCATTTTTTTTCTTCCCGTCTTCATTTGTCTTCTATGCTTTGAAACCATCACTGACCTTATTTACGCTCACCCATAGGCTCCAAAGGCTGGAAAATTCACATCATGCTTAAAATACAAATAAACTGAGTAAAACTAGCCAGGCAAGATTTTGAAAATATTTCTGCACTGCAGTTCTGTGTGTGTGAATGTATATATATTGTGAAGATTGACATTTCTCAATTTGCAGATGATTTGCTAAAGTAGTTCCAAAATGTGACAAGCTGTCAAAAAACATATATTTCAGAAGAGAAGTAGCTTTCCATATGAGCGCCCATTCCAATCACAAACTGAGGACCAGTTTTTCAATAACAGAAGGTTTGGAGTTAAAGTCAGACACTTGGGGTCTCTGGTTTTAGTTATATAACCAACTTCATCTGCTGTAAATGAGATTCTTGATAAGAATGAATGAGAACAAATTTGCTTTAGAAATAAATTTGTTATGCCTCTGCCTCCTATTTATACAAGACCTCACAAATCTTGTGGCATAATCTAAGTAACTCAGAAGCTGATTCTTTGATCCTACTCCTATGACTTCTGCTTCCAAAGGAAGTTTAAACAAGGTAGCAGGAGGAGGGAAACAGATAAGCTGAAGAGAATTGACCTGGAGCAGATCTAAAGGGCTAAAGAGATCAAGAGGAAAGACTGCTGTGCAGCTCTGGCTTATTGGGCTCTGCTGTGCAAGATTCAGTGTAGAAGGATGAGTGAGATTTAAAATTGCAATCCCTCTGAGCACTGACCAGGCCCTAATCAAGTCAGGTCCTCAGGTGATGGTCCTTCAGACCTCACCTCTGTACAAAGGTGTCAGACTTTCTTTCCAGATCTTTCTGTGCCTGATGAGTATCCAAGCTCTGAAAGCCTGTGAAGTTTCTAGACTGCTCAGCTGTTTCTGTTTTATGCTTTCTTTTTCTCTAAAGCAACAATCCTGCTCATAAATACTATCTGGCCGTGGACCCTGTTTCAGGCTCCCTCTACGTGTCGGACACCAATAGCCGACGGATTTACAGAGTCAAGTCCCTCACGGGCACGAAGGACCTTGCTGGTAACTCTGAAGTGGTGGCAGGGACAGGAGAGCAGTGCCTGCCCTTTGATGAAGCCAGATGTGGGGATGGAGGGAAGGCAGTGGACGCAACCCTAATGAGCCCTCGAGGTAAAGGAGGAAAAGAAGCCGGAGAGAATGGCTGTGTGCAGCTAGGCTGGATGTGGAAATAATTATCTGGCAATTAAATCACTCCTTGCTCGGTGATTTTCATTCTGGGCTTTAATTACAGTGGATTGGCAAGTGTTCGTGCTTTGTTTAGTTAAAGCAAACTTTATTACCCCGGCAGTGAGTGCTGCAAAAGGAGAACAGAACACAAATTAGCAGGGTACCGCTCACTCCAAGAAGCCAGCGTGTGAACTGGGAAACTGATTGCTGTTTGAGATGCAGTCTTTGGGGAGAGAAATTGCTTGCTGTGTCTTTTCTCTGAGTTTTTCCTCCATGTATCTCCTTTTTCTTCAGAGTCAGAGAAAAAAATAAAAGGATTTTTGCCCTTTTCAGTTTCTAATTTTTGACAAAAGGTTTTCAAGATGATATAGAGATTTGGAGATGTGTTTCTTTTTAAGGCTTTTTTTTTTCTCTGTTGTTTCATCTTAATTGTGAGGATGAATTAATCAGGTGTATTGCCATGTGTTTCAAACATCTTTGGGTTTTTTCAGTGGCTGAAAATAACTAGATGATCATAAAGGTACACAGAAATGGAAATTCCAGTTTCTTTGTATAGGAAGTAGTTTCAGTTAACACGCAGAAATTAAAAAGATGAAGCTGTATCTTCTCTCACTGCCCAGTGGGATGAGCGCTGCAACCACTTGAGGACAGAATTTTTTTAGATCAATATTTTGTTTTCAGACTGAGAAATGGACAAGGCAGTGCACCAAATCAAAGCAGGAAAGAAAGGCCAGTGAGAAAAAGGCTGCCCTCCTTCCCAGCAGGCAGCAGCATCTGTCTGTTCTTGCAAGGGAGCACCCTTCCATTCTGTGCCTTTCCTCTCTAAGGACTCACAGTGTGACAGGCATTGAACCTTCCCTTTTTTATAGGCTGGCAACCCCTGTGTCTTCATCTGGAAACACCAGAGGTGCTTTCTGTATTTTCACTGCAACAGGTCAAAGAATTAAAAAAACATCCAGAAATAATACAATGTCCTCTTAGTTTTCAAAAAAAAATTAGAGGTATTTTAAAAGCTTTTTAAAAAATTCTTCATCCTCATTAGATTTTTCAGATTAAGAAAGGAATGCCTCAAGTTTCTGAGTAAAATTAGGATATATTTTTTTAATTGGGTTTATGTAATACATCAGAGAGCTTGAATCTAGAAATAAGCTGATGCATTCTGCTGGGTCTTTGTCATGTTTGGCGATTTCTGTGGTTTTCTTTAGAGTCCTGAAGGATAAACCTGCTTGATGCCATTTCAGTGGCAGAACTATGGGTTGTTGGAGGGTTCCAGGACCTGTGCTCAGGTTGGGAGGGAGGAAGGAACAGGGGAAGTGAACAAATTTCACCATCTTGTAAACAAGACAAAGCCTGCCTTGAAGCCAGGAGCCTCACTGCTGCACTGAAGCCTGGGTTTTATATTTGCAGGAATTGCAGTGGATAAGTATGGACTCATGTATTTTGTGGATGCCACTATGATTAGAAAAGTGGATCAGAACGGAATTATATCGACCCTGCTGGGCTCCAATGACCTAACTGCTGTTCGACCTCTCAGCTGTGATTCCAGCATGGATGTCACCCAGGTAGATTCTTACTGCATTTATTTTCCTCCCTGCCTTAGAAGAGATGGGCATCTATTTTGATGACTGCCTGGCCACTTAAGAAATAACATTATGCAGCACAAGATGATAACATAGTTGATTTGTTGCTGAAATGAGTGAACCATCCTTTTTACTGTGGCTAACACAGTTTATTTATGCAACTATAGAGAAATAAGGTTGAGATAATGGGAGTTATTGTCTTAATTGCCTGTTTTTCTGTAATTATTGTAGAGCTTCCACAATGTAGCATTCATTCTTGCACAGAAACACAATTAGCCAAAGTTACAACTGCACGTAGCTTTAATATTTCTGAAAAACAAAATCATTGTTTGAAATAGTTGCCGTTCATGACTTGGTTTCATGATTTACACTGATAAACCCCTCACTAATTTGCTGTTGTTACACGTGGAATTTTAAACACTAGGAGTGTACTTTTCAGTTTCGAGTTTTACAGTAATAATTTGTGCAACTCATAGGTACGGCTGGAGTGGCCTACTGATCTCGCTGTCAATCCCATGGACAACTCCCTTTATGTCCTAGAGAACAATGTTATTTTACGGATCACAGAAAACCATCAAGTTAGCATTATTGCTGGACGCCCCATGCACTGCCAGGTTCCTGGTATAGACTACTCTCTTAGCAAACTGGCTATTCATTCTGCACTTGAATCAGCCAGTGCCATTGCCATCTCACACACAGGAGTTCTTTACATCAGTGAGACAGATGAAAAAAAAATTAATCGGCTCCGCCAGGTAACTACCAATGGAGAAATATGCCTTCTTGCAGGGGCAGCTTCAGACTGTGATTGCAAAAATGATGTCAACTGTAATTGCTATGCTGGGGATGATGGGTATGCCACTGATGCCATCTTAAATTCACCATCTTCCTTAGCTGTGGCCCCAGATGGTACCATCTACATAGCTGATCTCGGAAATATCCGCATTAGGGCTGTCAGTAAAAACAGGCCCGTTCTTAATTCCTTTAACCAATATGAAGCTGCATCTCCAGGAGAACAGGAGCTGTATGTCTTCAATGCTGATGGGATTCACCAGTACACTCTGAGCCTCGTTACTGGGGAGTACTTGTACAATTTCACCTATAGCAGCGATAACGATGTCACGGAGGTGATGGACAACAACGGCAACTCGCTGAAGGTGCGCCGGGACGCCAGCGGGATGCCCCGCCACCTGCTGATGCCGGACAATCAGATTGTCACCCTGGCTGTTGGCACCAATGGGGGACTCAAGCTGGTCTCAACACAGACCCTGGAGCTCGGATTAATGACATATAATGGAAACAGTGGTCTCTTAGCAACGAAGAGTGATGAAACAGGATGGACAACGTTTTATGAGTAAGAATGTTTTTGGATATATTAAGCGTACGTTTATTTTTTCAAACGGTAGTCAATAGGCCCTAGGCTGACCCTGCTGCAATTTGTTGTAGGTTTTCAATGATACTGAGTAAGGCCATTGTGCCTCAGTCCAGTGTGACGCTGGAAATGGTGAAGTGGCTTTGTGATGGTGTCCTTTGGGTGGGTGCTGATCCCCCTAAATCCTGCCTGGGGTTTGAGTTTGGGGCAGCTCCTCCCCACCCAGCACAGAGGACCTGTGCCGTGGCTGGAACCCCAGCCTAGTTAAGCTGCTGTTCATGGTCAGCACGGCTGTCCAGAGCCAGAGCAGTCCAGCACTCCCCCTGCAGCTCCCACAGAGCTGCTCTCTCTAGGAGCCCTCATGCTGCAGCTTCTTCTGGAACTCAAATTATCTCTCTTTCTGTTCAGCCTCATGTATTACTCATGGTTGTTAAAATGTTGATTAACTTCAATGATTGTTCATTCCTGAGACAAGTGAGGAAATTAGATCCCCAGCTATCTGTCAGACCCCTGGTGTAACTTCCATAATTTGTAGATAACCCAAAAGCACACTGGTGTTCATGAGCATATAGATTAAATAGACAGAACTTCCTCTTTAAATGAAATTCATCTGAAGAGATGAGGTTCAGAAGTATATTAAAAATCTAGAAAAACTAGTCCAATTTTTATTAATATTTATCCTGTTCTTAGTAGTCTCATTGCCATTTTTTGATCAAAAATATTAAAAAGAGAAGCTAAATGACATATTGAAAAATATATTTAAGTATGGCAAGTATGATGCCATATATTTTGTCTGAATTAGTTAATGATTGAAAAATATCATTCCCCAAATCAGTGAGTAGAAAATAGGAATAAGCTTTATATTTAATTTTAAATGGCAGCCTTATTTTCAAGTCACAGCCTAGCAATGGCACACACCTCTTAGTTTATTGATGCATTCAGCTTGGCCACCTGTTTCCTCTGTTCAGAGAAAACGTAAGAAATGCAGGGATGGAGGGAGCTGTGCTGGGAATGCCTGCCCTGCACAGCGGGGATGCTGCTCACACAGTTCCCTTTGGAAGGAAAGCAGTGCCCTCTCGTGGGGCCCTGCGTGCCCAACCACTCACTGCTCTCCTCCAGCCCGGGCCTCCCCCTGGGCAGGGGCTTCTTTGTCCTTCATATTTGGCAAAAATCATTTCTCCACCACAAATAATTCAGTTACATGACCACATGAAGGTATCACCTGCTGATTATAAGCTCAATTAAAAGCTCACTGGACTAGACAGAATAAATTTCATATTATTGTTGATGAGATGTGAACGCCCTTCTATGAAGGTTTTTTTGTTGTTTCTTTTCCTCAATAGGCAGCTCAAGGTGCAGTCATACAAATAAGGTATTTCTCAAAACAACAGAAACTAAATAGCATATTAGTTTAAAACTCTACATGAATATCCATAAAACATTAAAAAAACCTCATCAGAAAGTTACTGGTTACAAAACTGGTATAACTGGTGTCTGAGAGACACACCTAGTGCTAAGTTAACATGGTTTATTAGCAAAATTCTATTATGATTCCTAAGGAAATACAGAAGGTAGAGGCTTTGATGTCTTACTGAGATCAGCTGAAAATATCATTTAATGTGTACATAGTGCTGCAGATGTTTTTCCAAGATCAAATAAGAAAAGATGCACAACCTTTGCCTCAGGTCAGTGGAAGTTAAATACCATCTTTAGATCTAAATATTATAGCCTGAGGTACTGTCTTAGATAATTAGTAACTTTGATGAGGCAGCAGAAATAATTCATTTCTCCCAAATTTGTACATACATTCTCATAAGCATAGAGCTCATAGATGAGAGAACCATAAAAACATTATTTAAATTGAATATACAAACCTAAACAATCACAGTCCACAGTCACTCAGTACTGGTTTCTGGTTTCTGTTTTTTCTTTGGAAGAGCTCCTAAGAGAAAATTCTGTATTCTTCATTCTGAAATTTTTTTGGTAGCTATAACTTAATATCAATTGAAGATTAAAGAAGTATTCAGCCAATGAGAGTTTATAAGGACAATAAAGTAGTTTTCTATGCAGTTACATTCATGCATTCATACAGACATAATCAGCAGTCAAAATTGTTAATATGGCAGCAGAACTGGAAAAGAACAGAGGTCTTTTAAGTAGTGAAGTACTACATGAGCTAAAGTTCTTATGAAAAATTTATGTCAGTGCATTTATATCAACCAGGCACTGAAGTGCCGTGTTATCTTATTGGGTATATTCCTCTCAATTTTAAATTTTAAAATTTCAACTTCACCCTGAAAATGCTCTCAGAATTAAATTTGTACAGTTAATCTAGGTGTGCATCTGCATCAGCAGAGAGTTGCAGACACAGGCTGGTTTGTGTGTGTGCACAGTCCATATGTGAATTCTATAGATAGCATCTGTGCACGTGCATGCAGCTCATTTGCAGCAGGAGCAGCCAAGGCTCTTCAATAATAGAACAGCTACCAGCAGGCTCACATGGGGTAATTTAAGCTTGGCTTGGGCATGAAGCACAGATCTTTGAAGCAGCTCCCTGTGGTATTCCTCTCGGTCTAGGGAGCATCCTGAGAGAGTGCTGCAGTTTTTTTCTGGAGTCATTTTTAAAAGGGAGAGAAAACAGGGGTGTGTGTAAATGTGTGTGGGTCTGTGCCTTGCCCAGCTCTGTGTTAAGCCAGAAGCTGCCGTTCCTCCTCTCTGCAGTGCTGGTTGTGGCCCTGCCCTTCCTGCTCCACCCACGAGCTGTCAGGAGCACAACTCAGACCTGAGCTGGGATGCTGCTCATAAACATTGCCTGAGGAATAGAGGTGCCACAGCAGTGGCCAGGGACAGCAGCCCTCAGGGCACTGTCACAAACCCACTGAAGGGATGGATGCACAATGCTTGTAGCTACCTGAGAAGGTGCCAGGTGCTCAGCTGTGTCCCACGGTCCAGGCTGAGCTCCAGGTGTGGCCATGGGCAGCTCAGAGCCATCAGGCTGCAGAGACAGCCACCAGCTTTGTCACCCAGAGCTGTCCTGGGAAAGCTTTGCCTGCTGCCAGGGGGTCCTGGTCACAGTTAGCAAAGATCTGGTGAGGTAGCAGTGGGGAGATGCTGTTTGTTGGTTTTTAAGATACTGGGATAAAGAAAAGTTGTTTTCCCTTGTAATTTTATTAGTAGAAAAATTTGGGATGAAGCCTTACTCTACCTGAAGTCAGTAACAAAAGCTCAGGAATTTCAGAGTACCCAGAGCCCACCTCATTTGAAAATGTAAAGGTTGCCTTATCAGACCTGATTCATCCAAGCTGATGCTGTGTCACAGACTGCAATAGGTAGAGACTGCTTCTGCAGAAGATACCAGGTCAATTAATATATTTTTCATTGTAAATTTTTGGTTTTTACTTCATTAGACCCAGGTTCATGACACAAAGAAGAGAAGTGCATAATCATTTAATTAATATATAGTTCATTATTCAGATAAATGTCTGGGTGTTGTATTCTACTGAGCACTTGCTCTCATATAATACATAAATTCTAAAAAAATCTCAGGAATATGTCACTTAAATTTTGTGGTTGATAAAAGGTTTCTGTTATATTCATTTTCATTTTTTACCTTAAAAGTATTTTTTAAATAAGATTTTATTTTGATACAATGGACAAAGTAGAAATGCCTTCTTTATATATTGGTATCAGAGTGTGTATATATCATTTAAGTAGTGAATTTTTTCTCTATCTCACTTGTAATCTAAGTGGTCTGCAGATCTTCAATGACAGTACTTTTGTATGTATTTTGTTAAGTGTATCCATCACTTGCTTATAAACCCTTTTAATCTGTACTGTTGCTGCTTTCAAAGCTGTGACCAGCACTGGGAAACCCACCCCATGGCAGGGGTAAAACAATCATTACTTGAAATAGCACTGGAATATTTCCATTTTTCTGCTTCAATCTCTGTACATCCACATCCATATTTACTTTTTAGACTGCCCTTACACTTTAAATAGAGATTTCCAGTTAGTAGCCCACAGCAATCCCCAGGAATTTTTCCTAGGTTAATTAAAAACCCAGCAATGTGAATGAAAACTTTAAATTAATGTCTCATTTGCATTGCCTAAAATATATTTGCTGATGGGGAATTTCACCAGCCATTTTTCTGGAAGTTCACCGAGTGCTGCAGAGTCACACTGGAGACACTCATAGTTTTTTCTAGTTTGTCCTAAATAACACTGCCTGTGCTGTAAGATTTGACATCCAAGTGTTCTCTTCCTCACTCTGCTCATCATGAAACACACCACATACAGATTCTTAAGGGGCCTTATTAACCTTTAAAATTTTTGAAATTGTCCATTTTTTGTAGTTTTTATTTTTCTCCTGCAAGACAGATGGTTGGCTGGATCCAGTTCTTCCTTTAGCTATTCTTTTGGAGTGCTTTTCAGTATTTTTTGTGAAGACCTCTGTAAAGACTTAACCCACTTTCATAGATTATCTCAACATATTATCTTTTTTTCAGTATCTTGCTGATATAATAATATATCTATATATAAATATATAGGTATCTGTGGGGAGAAACTTGTGACTATATTGAGAAAAATCACTCTGCTTAATCTTTCTTTGATCCTGAGCCACTTAAATGAACACTATGTATTATTGGTCCCTTTTAGGTCGCATGATGCTTTGTTTTATTGATTTCCTTCTTTGCCTAATACTTCCATTGGTTCTGGTAAGGCTTCTGCTCCACAGGTGATTTTTTCCTTCCTCCCCAAAATTCAGTTGAATGGGTGCAACCATTTGCAATGAATTTGAAAGTCATATATTTTGTTTCTTTTAACTGAGGAGCCAATCTGTGTCTTAATATTTTAGATATGCTGTACAGTTCAGGTGGCCTAGTCTGAGGTTTCTGAGTGTTTTAATTGTAAAGCCTTGTTGAAAGCTCTGATTTTGTTTTCATCTTTACAGCTAACCACAGCCTGCACTGAACTGAGCTGGCTCCATGCTACTAAACGTGCTCCTCTTCTCTTCTGTTACTCTCAGGCAGTGCAGTGGATTTACCAGTTCTCTTCCAGGCTTCCTGCTCCCTGCATCTCTCCATCCCAAGGATGACCAGTTGGTTTCAATCTCTACCTAAACTTTTCCCTTTATCCACACAGGACATTTTTTCTTGCCTTTCTGCTCTCTAGAAGCGCCTGTGCTTTGGTAGTGCCTGGGTGAGAAACTTGCACCAGTAGAGAATTGCAGCAAGCACAGTGTCAGACTGGAATGCTGATTTTGTTTCAGGTCCCCATTTCTTGCCCCTAAGATCCAAGGGATTGCTTCTTTAGCAAATGTATGCACACAGCTAGAGCATACTGCAGGAAAGGGGGAAAGGGTATGATTTGATTTCCAGTAGCATTCCTTCTTTCCCCCTCCTCAGGCTTTATACCTCTAAAGAAATTTAACTCTGTAAAATCATGGAAAGCTTTTCTTTTCCTTTTTTTTTCTTTTTTTTTTCTTTTTTTTTAATCTTTATGCCTCTGGAGCATTTAAAAATTTTTCTAAGGTCTATTCTGAGTGCTGACTGCTGCCCTTTGTGCTTTTCATCTTTCATCTTTATGATCCAAAATACTGACCCCAAAATGCAGTTCAATACCACAGATAAGATCTAAATGAAATTATAATGTTGTCAAGCTGATGTATATTTTAATACTTTATGGCAAGTTTATTCCTTGATATGTCACTCAAGACTATCCTTAGTTTCCACTAGGTATTCAAAAGCAAATGTGCAGTTTATGCAATTGTTTATTGCAGTGTCCATAAGAAGTCCACTTCCTTAGAGAGAAATGCAACTATTAAAATTCAGACTAATTTACTAATTTAGTTATAAATGTTTGTGCCAAATATCACTCCGTATATTCATAATAATTTAATTAATTTAATAATTCAAAAGAAGCTAGCCTGGATTTGCACCCATGTAGTTGAGATCAGTATCTGAAAAATATTATTTCATCATTAGAGACTCTTTCAAGAACAGAGAAATAGATATGGCCAGGATGTTCTTGAAAATCTGTTTCAGTCTGGGGTTTTTTGCACAAATGTGCTGCATTATTAATACATTGGGTATTGAAACATATATTGAACATATATCCTCATGCTTTTTTGCTCTCACTAACTTTTCTATTAGCTATGATCATGAAGGGCGTCTGACCAATGTGACACGTCCCACTGGAGTGGTAACTAGCCTTCATCGGGAAATGGAAAAGTCCATTACCATCGACATTGAGAATTCTAATCGGGATGACGATGTCACGGTCATCACAAATCTCTCCTCTGTGGAGGCTTCCTATACAGTTGTTCAAGGTACCAAAGCACACTTCTCAGCACACTCCTAACCACACACACAGCCTGAGAAAGCAATTCACTAATGATTCGTGTCATTAGTACACTCATGAGCAGGGGGAAACCGTGTAAGGTTTGCAAGAAAAACTCCCATAAACCTTATTCCTAAAATGACAGGTCTTCAGGACAGGTAAGAGCCATTTCACAGTCCTGCTTTTATTCAAGTAATTATGGTCACTGTCTGCTGGGGAAAGTTAGTCCTGCCACTGCCTCCTGGGTCAGGGTCACTTCACCCACTTGCATATTTCCATGTACTTCCCTGCAAAATTGGTTCTGACTTCTGTGCCACAGAGATGCAACCTGACTGCTGGGGGAGATCCTTCTGGAGAGGCTCAGGAAGCCTTCTAGTAGAAGAAATCTTCTAAATGTATACACTGCCATTAATTAGAGTGTAGAACAGCCAGGGCAGTGGATGGTGTGTGCCAGAGTTGGCCCTCCCAGAGCAGAGTTACAGCCTGAGGGTGGCAGGAGGCAGCAGCAGCACAGGCTCAGAGTTTGTGCAGAGCATTCCAGCACCACCCAGGCATTGCATCTGATGGAGTGGGGTCAGTTATCAAATACAGACTGAAAGGGATTTGGTGAGTGATGGGGCTTTTTAATTAAGATATAACATCACTGGAATGAGAATATCACCATCAAACAATAGTCTCCTCCTGACATAAATGTCAACATTTGTAGACTATTATGCCGTGACAGGTCTGGTTACAAAGGCTTAATTTCTCATATAGCGGATGATTAATTACGTAGATGCTGTCCTTCTGTCAGGCAAATATTGATGTGTTGCTGACAGCTGCACACTCTGGCACTCCATCCTGGCTGAGAGGGGACTTGGCTGTGTCAAACAGCTGGAGAGCAGCATGGCCAGAGAAGCACGGGCTTGTTTCTGTAACTCCTCTCCCACAGAGGCCAGGTGTGCACATCAGGGCAGTGTGGGGAGGCAGGAGAGGGAGCCACTGTGGCTGCCAGCTTGCACTGCTGGAGCCTCACACCTTGAGGGTTTAAAGCCACACTGTAATTCTGTACAAGGCCTCTGCTTGGAGACAGTTTTTAAACAGAGGGAAACAAAAAAGAAGAGGCACGCACTTCTTCCTACTTATAAAGAGTCCAGCAATCATCATCTTTTTCTTTTTGTCCTGGAGTTTAATGCTTTGTTGTTTATCCAGCAGTTCAGTTTTCAGGAGTTTTTGTTCATATCAGAAATAAATTACGTGGTTCAACACATATCACTGTGTATTTTGATTCACAATTAAGACTGAAGGGAAAAGATAATGAAATAAACACAGTATCTCTCTGCAGGCTCACTGTTACACTACTGTTCTTTACATGAATCAGTAACATCTGTAATTTCCACCATAGTACCACGTAAATGGTAATTGCAGGCTGACTTCATTTAACATCAACAGGAGTGCAATAAAAAACCAATCAAATTAAGCTATATGTTTTCTTTATGACTGGAGTAGCTAAATTATTTTCTTTTCATTATTGCTGTAGATCAAGTGAGGAACAGCTACCAGCTCTGTAATAATGGTACTTTGAGAGTGATGTATGCCAATGGCATGAGCATTAGCTTTCACAGCGAGCCTCATGTCCTGGCTGGGACTGTGACTCCCACCATAGGACGCTGTAATATTTCTCTGCCCATGGAAAATGGTTTAAACTCAATTGAATGGCGCCTGAGGAAGGAGCAGATTAAAGGCAAAGTGACGGTGTTTGGAAGAAAACTCAGGGTAAGTAGAACCTGTTGTTACAATAATCATCTTTTCCTCTTTGGGCAGAAAATTAATTTTTTGTTTATTTTGAAGAATGTTACTTTTACTTGTTAGAAATGTACAGCTCTGGGATTGTCTTTGGTGTGACACTGTTGGAGAGCTCAGTTGGCTGCATGGGATCATCTGCTGCAATCAGCTATAGAGCTTTGTTGCTAAAAGTATTCCAAAAGAGATTGGTAAAAATATCTAAAATATTACAGAATCACAGAATCATCAATGTTAGAATAGACCTTCCAGATCATGTAGTCCAGTCATTGCCCCAGCCCCACTGTAATTGCCCCAAACGCCATATCCCAATGCCTCTGGAACACATCCAGAGATGGTGACTCCACCACCTGCAACATACTCCAATGCATGAACACTCTGTCAGTGAGAAAAGTTTTTCAAATATCTAATCTGAACCTCCCCTGGTGCAACTTGAGGCTGTTTCCTCTTGTCCTTTCATTTGAGATACGGCAGAAGTGACTGACCCCCATCTTGCTAACTCCTTACAGGGATTTATAGAGAGCAATTAGGTGCCCCCAAACCAACTTTTCTGTAGATTGAACACCCCCAGCTCCCTCAGCCATTCCTCTAAAGGTGTTTTCTAGAGCCTCCCCCAGCTTCATTACCCTGTTGCTACAAAATTCTCTGCCTCTCAAGGGAGTGGGAATCTGAGCACTCACCACTTGTAAAACTGCCAGGGCAGATTTACCCCAGCTCGTGCTGGGGAGCAAACACAACTACAGTATTCTGCTGCTGTGAAATCCCCCTACAGACTCACTGAGACAGGCACGTTGTGTTTATTCCCTTTCCCAAATGGCAGATTGGAAAATAATTGCCATAATTACAAAATGGTAAGCACAGGATAAGGAAGACAGTCAGGTCATGTAATCCGTCCCCTGCCAAATTAAAGATCTGCTGCAGCTGGATTAATCCCATTCTGTGCTTTGCTGGCCTGATTTTCACTGATTTTTTTGACTGGACTACTTTAGTATGTGCAGTTTAGGAAGGGATTTGAGATACTGGGCAGAAAACAAATGCAGTGCTGATCAAGTCCTCACTCTTTTAGCAATCCTTTCAACATTGCTGAATACAAAGTACAGTTCAGTGTGTTCAAGATCACATAGCAAATGTAATATATGCAAGCAATTATGTAGTGATTTACCAAAAAAAAAGAGGCTTGGATGTTAATTTTTTATATTTTCCTATTGCTAGCATCTAATTCCCAGTGTTGAGTTGACAAATCTTTCCTTACTCTCACAAATGCTCAGAATGTACTTACTTGGGAGAGGGGGAAGGCTGTACAAAAAAATTGAATGAGATTAGCAGCTAATCCTTAATGACTAAATTTCATGTCTGTGTAATTGATTTTTGATGTGTTGACCTGCAGTAGCTGATTGGAAGTGGAAAACAGGTGAGCTCTACATTTTGGCTAGGTGTTGTTCAAAATAAAAATAGGATGCTGAAATGAAATTGCAGTAATCCTAATTCCCAATACTAAAAATTTAATAGAGGTACTCGTGGTAATTAGCTGAAGTTAAGCACATCTTAGTGCTGAAACATTGCCTGAGATAGGTTTTCTGAGATAGGTTTTTTTGCATCATGTTTATGCTAATCAAAACAATGCTTTATCTAGCAACACCTCAACATTTAATTGTCTGGTGTTAGTTCCTGTAACAATAATCACATATCCATTTAGCTCTTTTAAATGAAAATCACTATGAGATTATCACAGGTTGAGTGGACTGAAAATGAAATTTGAAAACGAGGGAGAAAGCATAGAATTTATTTGCATCTCATTTATTCTAATTCATCTTTACAAGTTGTTTAGTGAAGGAAGTAGAGCAAGTGTGTTGGAATGCTGTGGGGAGCAGGTGGCACACAGTGACACGGAGCAGGGCACTGCTGCAGAGCTGACAGAGCAGCAGGGCCACTCCTGGAGCCCCAGGTCACAGTCAGTGTGACTGGAGGGGTGGGCATTCTTTGTGATTCAGCTCTTGCCTGAGTGCTTCACTTCACAGTACTCTGGGGAATATTTGCTGGAGCCCACGCCCCTGTGCTTCTTAAAGGGGGTTATAAAAAGATGGGGAGAGACTTTGTTTTGGGGTCTGTTGTGATAGGGCAAGGTGTGGCAGCTTTATCCAAAAGAGGGTAGATGTAAAGTAGTGCTACAGAAGCTCTGTGGAGAGGTGCTGGCTCAGGCTGCCCAGAGCAGTGGTAGGTGCCCCGTTCCTGAAGCATTGAGGGTGAGGTTGGCAGGGCTCTGCAGAGCCTCCTCCAGTTGAAGATGTCCCTGCTCAGTGCAGAGGGGTTGTTCTGGGTGATTCACAGGTGACTCCCAACCCAGAGCGTTGGCTGGCTGTGTGAGCCCTCACACAGTGGTGCTGCCTGAGCCCAGGCTCTGCCCTCCCAGCCACACCTGTAGGAATCTGCACACCTGCCTGGGCACATTTCAGCTACCTGAGAAAGGAACTGCACCTTTATCTTACCCCACTCACTGTCTGCTGCTGTGTGATGCACCACACTTCAGTGTCTTGCTGTAGTTTCAGATACAGTGCTGCTGAGATTCCTGAAGGAAGATTTTTGATTGTGGAGCAGCATCCTGTAAGTGATTCCTGTGGCCAGACCTTTCCAGGGCACAAAGGGCTCATCCCTAGGGCCACCTCAGCAGCAGCCAGGGGAAAACCAGATTAGTGAACAAAAGAGAAAGGGCCTGTTGAGTAATCTGCAGTTGTGATACTTGTGACTGCTCTCAGGGTCCCCAGGAAGGGTGGGAATTATCAGCCTGTTTGGGTTCCTATATAATTAATATGATACTGCAATTATAGTCTCTGGTTTTACTCATTTTACAAATGCAAATGAAGGTACTGAATTCTCCAAGCAGGTGATGTTCCACTGTGCATCTCCAAGTGATATTTGTGTGTGTGCACGGCTCTTGTGTGTGTAATCATTTTTTAAAACCTAATAATTTTGTTTTCTGTGACAAAACCAAATAACTGTTATAAAGTTTCTGAGAAAAGAAGGGATACCTGCAGTCGGACTTTCCTTTGTGCAGATTTCTATTGCAGTTACAGTAATGGAGAGAACAAAACCCAGAAATCCTGACTGATTTATGAAGCTTTAGAAGTTACAAAACCCCAAAACAAAACCCCCAAAGCTAAAATTCAGTTCATAATCTTTCTGAAAGACTTTTCTTTTTTTTTATTTTTTTAGAAAATCTACTTACCCATAAGAAATTGGGCTATTTCAGTCATACACTGACCCTTTAAGTCTATAGCTAAATGTTTTTGAGGGGTAAAAGCTCTCTTCTGCTCATGAAAAGGGTTTTTTTCAATATGTCTGCCATCAGGGTTGATCCTACAAAACAAAAGTAACCAGCTGAGAAACTACTAATGCTGTTTGGCTTCCCTGGCTTTATTTTCATTGCAATGGGAAAGCTGAATATGACTTGTTTTGCCCCAAGGTGTTTTAAGAAAAATACTCTGTCTTTTCTGTGAATCACAGGGCAAGTTGTTGCTGGGATAACCTTTGGGAAAACCTACAGAAAAGAGCTTTTTTTTCCCTAGTAATTGCCCACAGAGGAAATGCAAACTGTTAAAGAGATTAATTTCATTAATGGAAAAAATTAGGGTAATGAGCAATAATTTGAAATAATTATTTCTTTACAAACACGAAACTGTATTAATTTTAAATGTGTCTGTATAACTGAATTTCTACTGAGTTGGTTGGGGTGGGAATTGGGTTTACCCCTGCCAGTGAATATATCTCAGAATAATTTTTATATCCTTAAGAAAGGCTCAGGGCTAATTTACATATTGTTTGATGTACAGTTTAATTTTGGGTAAGAGGAAACGTTGCATTATCAAAGCCACTGTAAAATATAAGCTAAAGAACAAATTCCCAGAGATTGATGAATACTTTTAGTCATTGCTCTGAAATTATATCTAATTTTAAAACTTCTACTTTATTAATGACACATCTACAATTAAATTACTTAAGAAGCTTTATGAAATTACAGCATTAGTCTGAATTCTATGCCTTACCCCCCAGTGAATATATTTATGTATCTCTCATTATAACACTTTCCCTAGAAGGCTCCCCATTTGGCATTCTTATTCTCCTTTGCCTCTGTTTTGCTCTTTTATTTTAAATAAATAAATAAATAAATAAATCTGCCACTGAAACACTTCATGCTGTACTTCGAATGAAAATTATAACAGAAAAAAAGGAAGGGGGAAAAAGAAAAATATTTAACCTAATTATTTAGCACCTTTGTTTTCAACACTAGAAATCCATCTTTCCCAGCCTGTATGAGCAGAATTTTTAAGCCAAGTGAAGGATCTATTGAATATTTGGAAAGTAAAGGAAGAAAGCAGTAAATGAATGAATTCTGAGCAGGGTGTTGCAATTATAGAAGTGGCTAAACCTCAGTAAAGACACAAAAATTTCTTCTATTGTTCCTAGAGTGATTGTAGGGAAAAGGGCAAAAAGAAATTTGCTGGTGGAAGTACAAAATTAAAATAGAAAATAGAAAAGCAGAATAAGTAGAAAAATACTCCATGCAAAATAATTTGTTTCTCTGAACTTTAAGGCCTCGATGTGCAGAATGTCTGTCTGTTCTGACTTTGATGGAAGCTTTTTACTGTAGGATATCACCTCCCATATTGCAGTGAGATGGGAAATACCCCAGTAAGACCCCAAATTATTTCAATATATAGCACCAAATAGAAAGCAACAGCCAGTTGACAGGAGCCATACACTTCTCACAGAATTTCCCTGTTTTGAACCACAAACCATGTAAAACAATGATGCACTAACAAGCCAACCAGCATTATAATTGCCATCTTAACCACCATGTCCATCATCCTCCTTCCTATCTCCCCTATAATCCTTACCATCATCTAAGAAATTTAGGATTAACTAAACTGAAGGCCTTCAAAGCCTTAAACAAGAATTAAACCCTGTTAATTTCTGCCTAAGTCTGCAGGCCATTACCCTGCATCCCCTAAATGCAACTCAGGTGCTTTAGTTAAGCTAGGACCTTCCAATTGCTAGGCAGATGGGCTTTGATCCATGATACCACAAAGGCCTCCCCTTTCCCCGCTGTAAGCTGGGTGTGCCCAGCTCTGGCTGAGCTCAGCCGCTTTTCCTCGCCAGGTGCACGGCAGGAACTTGCTGTCCATCGACTACGACCGCAACATCCGCACCGAGAAGATCTACGACGACCACCGCAAGTTCACGCTGCGCATCATCTACGACCAGCTGGGCCGGCCCTTCCTCTGGCTGCCCAGCAGCGGCCTGGCTGCTGTCAACGTCTCCTATTTCCTCAACGGGCGCCTGGCCGGGCTGCAGCGCGGGGCCATGAGCGAGAGGACCGACATCGACAAGCAGGGCAGGATTGTGTCGCGCATGTTCGCCGACGGCAAAGTGTGGAGCTACACCTACCTGGAAAACGTAGGTGGTGTTGTGTGATTGTGTTCTCAGGGGTCCCAGGATGAGGGAAGAGATGGGAATCTTGACTCCGTGTTTCATAATGCTGATTTATTATTTTATGATAGGTATTTTATTAAAAGAAAATTATATATTAAAGCTATGCTAAAAGAATAGAAGATAAGATTTCATCAGAAGGCTAGAAAAGAAAGGAATGGAATGGAATGGAATGGAATGGAATGGAATGGAATGGAATGGAATGGAATGGAATGGAATGGAATGGAATGGAATGATGATAAAATCTTGTGACTGCTCACAGCCTCAACACAAGTGACTGTCATTGGTCATTAAGTAAAAACAATTTCACGTGCTGGGTAAACAATTCTCCAGATCACATTCCAAAGCGGCAAAACATGGAGAAGCTGAAGCTTCTCAGGAGAAAAGATCCTAATGAAAGGATTTTTCAGAAAATATGTCTGTGACAGTGTCACCTCCTGGCACGAGCTGGAAGGACACAAAGTTCTGTTTGGCTTCATGGCACATAAATCACACACACCTGCTAGCTAAGATTTGGTGTATCCCAGCTGTTAGTCATACTTGGTCTCAAAATTCCTTATTTTGGTGTATCCCAGCTGTTAGCCATCCCTGGTCTCAAAATTCCTTATTTTTCATTTAGTCAGCTGAATATGACTAATTCTTAATGGGAAATACTTTGTTCATGGTTTCTGTCTTTTGATATTTTCCTGCTGTAGAATGGCAACAAATTAAGAAAATGTATTGTGCTTAATTAAGCCCAAAAATGCATGACTAAACCTGACAAAAGGTTCATGTAGAAACGGGTAATTCATCTCTAATTGTTACTTATTAAATGAAAGTATGGTAGTGCATTTTTACTTAGCCTAATTAGCACACTTCAGTCATAAAAGTGCGTTAAATACTACAGAACTGGGTATTGTTTTCCCTTTCCCTTCTTGTTGTTCTAAGTAAACCAGAGCTGATGTTCTCCGCTTACTTTCTCACATATTTCACAGTAACAGTTGTGAATTACAACTGCTGGCAGAAAGATAAATCAAGTCATTTATCTAACTCCTCTGCATCCCTAAGGAAAAAAAAAAAAGGAAAAAAAAAAAAAGTCCCCCTACAGGGAGGACAGCTCACAGGTTGCTAACCTACACTTTCTCTGGAGTGTCAGCCTATTGATTTCCAAGGAGCAGATCCTCTCATCTGGCAACCTGACAATATTCCGAGCAGCTCCGTGCCCCTGACTAATGCATCTGATTCTCTTTGTACTCATTTAACATTAGTGCCTCTCCAGTAAACTTTCCTTTGGTTCCCCCTCTGGGGCCACATGCTGATGGCTTTGTTGTTGTTTCCCCTGCAGTCGATGGTGCTGCTGCTGCAGAGCCAGCGCCAGTACATCTTCGAGTTCGACTCCTCGGAGCGCCTGCACGCCGTCACCATGCCCAGCGTGGCCCGGCACAGCATGTCCACCCACACCTCCGTGGGCTACATCAGGAACATCTACAACCCCCCCGAGAGCAACGCCTCCGTCATTTTTGATTACAGTGACGACGGCAGGATTCTGAAAACATCGTTTTTAGGCACCGGCCGGCAAGTCTTCTACAAGTATGGAAAGCTGTCCAAGCTGTCTGAAATTGTTTATGACAGCACGGCAGTTACTTTTGGGTACGATGAAACCACGGGTGTCCTAAAAATGGTGAATTTGCAAAGTGGAGGGTTTTCTTGTACAATTCGCTATAGGAAAATTGGTCCTCTTGTTGACAAACAAATCTACAGGTTCTCTGAAGAAGGGATGGTCAATGCAAGGTTTGATTATACATATCATGACAACAGTTTCCGAATTGCAAGCATCAAACCCATCATAAGTGAGACGCCTCTTCCAGTTGACCTTTACCGTTACGATGAGATTTCTGGCAAAGTTGAGCATTTTGGCAAATTTGGAGTTATTTATTACGATATAAACCAAATTATCACCACGGCAGTTATGACGCTGAGCAAGCACTTTGACACCCACGGGCGCATTAAGGAAGTGCAGTACGAAATGTTCCGCTCCCTGATGTACTGGATGACCGTGCAGTACGACAGCATGGGAAGGGTGACCAAAAGAGAGCTCAAACTCGGTCCCTACGCCAACACCACCAAGTACACCTATGACTACGATGGAGATGGGCAGCTGCAGAGCGTGGCAGTCAACGACAGGCCCACCTGGCGCTACAGCTACGACCTGAACGGGAACCTGCACCTCCTGAACCCTGGGAACAGCGTCCGGCTGATGCCGCTGCGCTACGACCTCAGGGACAGGATCACGCGCCTGGGTGACATCCCCTACAAGATTGATGATGATGGATACCTGTGGCAGCGGGGTGCTGACGTGTTTGAGTACAACTCCAAAGGGCTCCTGACCAGAGCTTACAACAAAGCCAATGGGTGGAGTGTTCAGTACCGCTACGACGGGCTGGGCCGAAGGGCTTCCTGCAAGACCAACCTGGGGCATCATCTGCAGTACTTTTATGCTGATCTTCACAATCCAACAAGGGTAACTCATGTCTACAATCATTCCAACTCTGAAATTACCTCTTTGTACTACGATCTGCAAGGGCACCTGTTTGCAATGGAGAGCAGCAGTGGGGAGGAGTATTATGTGGCCTCTGATAACACAGGCACTCCGTTAGCTGTGTTCAGCATCAATGGCCTCATGATCAAGCAGCTCCAGTACACAGCCTATGGGGAGATCTATTATGACTCCAACCCAGATTTCCAGCTGGTCATTGGGTTCCATGGAGGGCTGTATGATCCTTTAACCAAACTCGTGCATTTTACCCAAAGGGACTATGATGTCCTGGCTGGGCGCTGGACATCTCCTGATTACACCATGTGGAAAAATATTGGCAAAGAACCTGCTCCTTTCAATCTGTACATGTTCAAGAGTAACAACCCTCTCAGCAATGAACTGGATCTAAAGAATTATGTAACAGGTGAGACTTCTTCACATTTATAATACATAACACTACGAAAGAAACCCAGCTTCTCTTTATGAGCCCTTTGCTCAATCCTCACATCATGTTTTTCCTTTTTGCCTATTAAAAGTGGCTATTTCTGATTCCTTGGCACTCCTCTTCCCTGAACAAAGGGCTCTAAGAGAGAAGCCATGATGAATTATGAAGGGAAAATAAATAAATATAAGCTTGTCTGAATAGAAAATTTCAGCACAGCCATAGTGCTCTTCCTATTGGACTAGTACTTTGTAAAGAAGTGTTCATTCTAGTTCTGTACCAAGAAAAGTGAAGTCATGTATAGGAATCATTGGCAGGTTGGTTCAGAATCACAGTCCAGAACTACTCAGATCTCTTTCTTTCAGGACTGCTTTCAAAATTAACCACTGTCTGAGCTCATGGGCACATTAAGAATTAGCACCAAGAATGGATTTAATTAGACCTCTTTTTCCCATTTAACTTTTAATATGCAAATAGTCTTTAGTCTTTAAAATTAAATCCTTGATGTTTTTTAAGATTATTTCATCCTGAAAGACTAATAAATGTTATGGATTTTGTAGAGCTGAGAAACAAAAGTAGTTTTGATCACATATGTTAGAATTGGGTAAAACTTGTAACCCTTTCTTAATTAGGAATAATTTTTCACTTAGTAACATCACACAGTAGTTGAACTAGCTGCTGGCAGTTTCTAAAAGGAAAGGTAATTAATATGTCTTCAGGAAAAGCTTTTTTTCATAATTCAATATGCAGTGTACAATAATTAGAGTAGTGATACCATTTTTAAAAGGAATGATCTTAATTTTAGCAGTAATTTGAATTTCAAGAAAAGTGTGCATTTCCTTCAAAGAAAATCACAGCATGTTTCATTAGTGCATTGCAACCTAATAGTAGGTGTAACACACCAGAGGTTCTAGTGGAGCAACTTTGCAATTAGGAGATAATGTGATTTGTATCTGATAGTGTGAAAATACTGGTGACTAAAATTACCTCGTTGTCCTAAATTCAACAGAAGTCCTATTTTCATCCACCACCCTTTGATCTTCATTTTCAACATCATCTTACTATGTTTTGCTACATTCTGAAATTGTATTTATTTAATTTATCTATCCACCGGATGAAATCGAATAAGATAAATTGCATTTAGGTACAACACACACCTCGTAGTCTGTAAAAATACTTCATCAGTGATGCAAATATTTGTTGCTGTAGGACTGAACAGATAAAAATTGGACAAGAAATTATTATGGTGGCACCTTGTTGTCATAGTTAAAAAAAAAAGGAGAGAACAAAACAAAACACCAAAAACTCTTCCTCTGCAGTCCATTCTTACTGACACAGGAGTTTATTCACAGTTTTTGCTGAAAACAAATTCCTGTAGCAAATGCAGTGCTGCAAAGCACATTATTAGCTCAGCAAAATAGTAACTGTTTTGTATATAGGTCCTGCTCTGGTTTCTGTGGAATTGGAGCAGCTGAAGTGAATTGTTCAGGAGATACCATTTTACCATAAAATAAAACTGAAGCCTTATGAGGAGCAGTAACCCTGTGCTGTCCAAGGGTTCAGGAAAATACAGTAGGCACTGTGTGATGGGAGATGGATACAGATACCTCATAGAGGCAGAGTATTTAACTACTAATTTTAGAGTCAAAATGGCAAAAAAAAAGACATTTGGGGAAGACAGACTTTGCAACAGCTCAGCTCACAGAAGTGGCAATAGCAGCATCAGTGTAGACCAGTGAGGAGAGATGGCCACTGGGAAAGACAAGAGAGATTTTAAAGTAAAAATTATCATGAATTCAGGAAACAGAAAATGTAAAATAGGGTAATGGATTCTTTTTTGTTAAAAGAGTTGTCATTTGGATAACCAAAATACATAATTAGTTTTTAATACCTGCAGAGTGAGAATTACTGTTATTAACTTAGCTTTTACAGCTAGATCTGAGGATAGAGTTTTTGTGGTTGATCCCACATCTGGAACTTGCTGAGGCTCACCTCAGAGCTGAGCTGTAACACTCTCACACAGCTCCTACTTTCCCTGGAGGGATGGGGGAGGATATTTTTGTTGCCTAAATTTAGACATCTGATTTACAAATCTAGCTTCTCACTGCTTTTAATGGAGCCTCCTGAGAACTGATGACAGCTGATGGAAGTAGGACATAGAGGAGAAGCCATGTCTTTCCCCAAAGGACTTTGCAGATGTTTTTAGAGTGTTAACCTAATAATTTATCATTATACAATACAGTTTATAGGTTACATATAGTAGCCATATCAGAGGGTGTCAGAGATGGAACAAGTACTGTATACTGTAAAATGTTTGGATAATTCATGTGCTCTAATGGAAAATAATGAAAGAGCTGGTATATCCCTGATGATTTATTTAGGGTAAATTTAATGCAGTGTTTCCTGTACCTTTTCATGGTGGATTGCTACAGTTCTGTAAAGTTCCACACAATAATATTAATTGCGACTTCAGTTGCTACTTGAAATTAAAGATGTCAAAGATGGATTTCCTAATTTTTTTTTATTTTCTCTATTTGTTAAACACATGTGTTTCTCACTTAACTGCTTTCTTTCAATTTTCAGATGTCAAGAGCTGGTTGGTGATGTTTGGATTTCAGCTTAGCAACATCATTCCTGGTTTCCCTAGAGCAAAAATGTACTTTGTGTCACCACCATACGAGCTGTCTGAGAGTCAAGCGTGTGAAAATGGACAGGTAGGCAGAAAGATTAAATTACTTTTTATTTGTAAGTTTGCCCCACTCTATGGATAGAATCACTGGCTCTTCTGTAGTTACAGCAGAAGGCCAAGCACTTAATTCAGTGTAAAGTGAAGTGAGTATAGCTACATTTTATACTAATGAACATATGCATTTCTTGCCAGCCTTCGTTGTTATCATAATTACAGTGTCATTAGTTTGTCTTTTATTGAGTTATTCCTTGATTAACAAGTTGTAACTTGATTAACTTGATTAGCAATGACAAAGGGAGACTTTGTCAGGGTAATTTATCATCTGTTGTACCTTTGGTAAAACCATCCTAACAATGTGTTCCAATAAACTTAGGTTGGTACTTGTTTTGCTGGTAAAAAGGGTTCTATGTCTCACCCTGCAAGAGGTTTTCTTGCCATTTTTTGTCATTTTTCCATTTAGAGGTTTTGATTTGCTATTCCATTTAATTTCAGTTGCAGTGTTCATACTTGTCAGGTTAATGGTGAACACTATATAGGTTTAACTTTCATAATAAATTCCAGCCCATTTAATACACTTCAGAAGAGTACTAGGCCAATTCCAATCCTACTCTTTGCTAGGCTTATTTCATCTTTGTGGTAATACAACAAAAATAATCATATAAACCTAAACATACCACTTTCCCAGGCTTCCAAGTCATTTGAGAGTCTAAACCCCCTCTCCAGGAATTGCTTTGGTGCTTTTGTGCCCAAATTTCATCTATTTACAAAAAGGTTTATATTCATAAGCCTTTTAGTTTTATCTACTGGTTGAAATCTCTGGGAAAAGTGTCCATGAGTTAAATGCCACCTTTTAATACATTGATTCTGTTTGTTTTCAGCTCTGATTAAAATTGTGGTAGACTTGGGTCCTTCTTATTCTTCTACTGGGCATTATATGATTGGCCAAAATTGAAATGTGTAGTGCATGTATGCTACAGAGGGTGATGAGAAGTATTTTATTTGGTCTTACAGATGGCAAAATGATTTGGTGAATGAGTATTTACCTGATTCTGAACAAGATGTGGATGGATGGATGGATGGAATCATGGATGGATGGATGGAATGATGGATAAAATGATGGATGGATGAGGATGGAGGGATGGATAGAATGATGGATAAAATGATGGATGGATGGATGAATGGATGGAATCATGGATGGATGGATGGAATGATGGATAAAATGATGGATGGATGGATGGATGGATGGATGGATGGATGGATGGATGGATGGATGGATAACTGAAGGTGGTCTTTTGGAGTGTAGAATTTTTCTCTGCATGTCTTTCCTTTAAAAAAGCAAAGCAAAGATCATTATTGGTCTCTGAAATGAGTATGTTCAGATCTGTATCCTCTTTGGTGTTTTTTTTGTTCTGTTCTGCTTTCCCCAGCTAATTACAGGAGTGCAGCAGACGACAGAACGACACAACCAGGCTTTCATGGCTCTGGAGGGACAGGTCATATCTAAACGATTACATGCCAAAATCAGAGAAAAAGCAGGCCACTGGTTTGCCACAAGCACTCCCATCGTGGGGAAAGGGATCATGTTTGCCGTGAAGGAAGGCCGTGTCACCACCGGTGTTTCCAGCATCGCCACGGACGACAGCAGGAAGATCGCCTCCGTCCTGAACGGCGCTCACTACCTGGAGAAGATGCACTACAGCATCGAGGGCAAGGACACCCACTACTTTGTGAAGGTGGGCTCGGCCGACAGCGACCTGGTCACCCTGGCCATGACCAGCGGGAGGAAGGTGCTGGACAGCGGCATCAACGTCACCGTGTCGCAGCCCACGCTCCTGGTCAGCGGCAGGACTCGAAGGTTTACGAACGTTGAGTTCCAGCACTCCACGCTGCTCATCAACATCCGCTACGGGCTGAGCGCCGACACGCTGGACGAGGAGAAGGCCAGGGTGCTGGAGCAGGCTCGGCAGCGAGCCCTGGCCGCAGCCTGGGCCAAGGAGCAGCAGAAGGCGCGGGACGGACGCGAGGGCAGCCGCGTATGGACAGACGGAGAGAGGCAGCAGCTCCTCAGCACGGGAAGGGTCCAAGGTTACGAGGGATATTATGTCCTGCCCGTGGAGCAGTACCCAGAGCTAGCAGACAGTAGCAGCAACATCCAGTTTTTAAGACAGAATGAAATGGGAAAGAGGTAACAAATTAACCTGCTGTCATCCTTTGCTGGATGAATCAGTAGTCATAACTGTTATCTCCTCTCCTAAGGAGATGAAGACCTAAATGGGGGCACTAGGCTGAGCTACTCTGGGATAGTAAGTGGCAAAAAAGCTCATATTTTTTGAGTTAAATGCTACTGTTCAAGTGATTAAAAACCACATCCTGAAGTGGACTAAAGCCAGACTGAAAACTCTTAACCGTACAAATTAAAAAGTACCCCTGAAATATTACCCACTTGTTCTGGGTCTAAAGAAAAACAAAAAGAAGGCCTCGTATTGTATTACCTCACTCCATTCACACGTGAGCAAACTAAGAAATCCAAGTGGGCCACTTTCACTAACCAGCTGATGAAACACAGATGATTCAGACTGCTTGTTTGATAAATATCCAAGAGGTTTTCATTTAAAGCAAAATACAGATGCATTTAAAACATGACTTTGGGGTGATTTGTGTGTAGCGAATGGAGGACAAATGAAATGCAAGTGAGAGCGCACTGGAAATAGGAAAGGAAAATATATTTAAAAGTAACAAAACCACACTTGCACTCTGACCCTCCACTTGTCTGGCCTGAAGCTTAACTTATTCAAAGAGGGCAGAGTGTAAAGTTACATTCAAAATGGTGGCTATAAATCACTACAGATAAATTTCATACTCTGTTTGTCTTTGAAGATTTCCATTGTGGACAGTATAACACAGTTACAGGGTGTAGTCTGTTTAGATTCAGTAGTTTGTTGGTATCAGTTCCAGTAGAGCTGTGGGCATTGTGTTACACTATTGCAAATGGGCACCACGTCAGATCACCCTGTACATACATCAGCCAGAAGGCACAATCACTGTTTCAGATTTAAAAATTATTAGTGTGTTTGTTTGGTCGAGAAACTGAGACAATCACATTACGGTCACCACAAAAAAAAAAAGAAAAAAAAAAGTCTAATAAGAACTTTGGTACAAGAACTTTTTTGTAATATACATGTATGAATTGTTCATTGAGTTTTTATATTAATTTTAATTTGCTGCTAAGCAAAGACTAGAGACAGGCAAAGATAATTTATGGCAAAGTGTTTAAATTGTTTATACATAAATAAAGTCTCTAAAACTCCTGTGAATTAGTTGTCTTCCATTGCAAAATCCTGTAAAAGCGATTCTTGTCTGGCTGTTTCTAATGCACACAGCATTTTGTATGTGGAAATTACTTCCTGTGGTTCAATGGATCCTGCAGGGGGCTGCTCCTTTGATCTCTGGGTAAGCAAAGTCCTTCACATACATCACCCAAAAATCTGCTTAGGACACAGGAGAAAATTGGTAAATGCTTTAGGAATGCCCTCCCTCTCTGCACCTCATGACTAGCAGCCCTCAAACTGCTGTGTTTCAATTCTGAAATTAGTTTAATTGCACTGAAGTAACCTCTAAACAGTTTGAAAATGTAGTAACATAATATTAAGTGGAACATGCAAGGCTGTGCTGTGAGCCAGGAAGTCTCCATGAAATCTGTCTTCTTTGGGAGATTGCTTATTTCTAGCACATTTAAAACGGGAGGTAAGATCAAAGAGCCTCTCCTAAGCAAACAGTCACTCCTGGTGATGATAAAAGGGAGCCATCCATCACCCAGAGCCCTGCCGCTTTTATCTCATTTAAGGATGTAGCTGGGGAGCTCTACTTAATTTTGAGAACAGTTTTGCTTTTGGGGTTGTAAATGAGGTTTTTAATGATTCATGATAGCAGCAGAGATGCTCGAGTTGATTATGGGCATAAATTGACTCTGGGGCGTTTTTAAAGCTGAGCAGTTGGGTGCCTGTGTGGAGCAGCACCTGGAGCTCTCACAGAATATCTCATTTTTCTGTGCAAATGAGAGCCACCCCACTCTGGCTGGGAGTTACACCTACCTGGGCACCCCATGGCACCCCCAGCCCTGGCTCTCATCCTCTGTAATCTGGCTGCATTTTCAGATAAAGTTCTGATTGTCCATCACTGCAGGTGTTTTGCTTTGCTGAAGGACTCATAGTGATGCTACATTATTATTTTGTTCTTTACAAGTGAAATCTCTTAAGGAAGTGGTTTTTTTCAATGAGGGAATAAAACACGAAATCACGAAGCAGAGACACTTTGCATTATTGCAGTTTGTCTGGATTACCTGGCCCTGTCCTGGTAAGCTGCTTAGCTCATTTTTTGGGATAGAATTTTTCTTGCAGTTTGAGAATGTTGAAATGAGAACCTGTTGCACAGTCCCCAGTGTTCTGTTACCATTCTCCTAAAGCTGAAACTCTTCAGAACTGGAGATCCTGCTACTTCAAAAGGGAACTCAGTTAAGCTAAAAGGGAAGCATCCTTTGAATATTAATGACTATCAGAGGAGATGTAACAAATTTCAGTGGATGCACTCCCTGCTCGTCTCCTTTGCAACTAACGCACACCATCAGGATGTTCTTAAACAGAGTTTTGGGAGATGGTGCTAAATTCTCACCAGAGATCACTGCCCCAGGGCCAGCTGCAGTTTCCAAAGGCAGTGTGCAGCTCAGCACGGGTTGTGTGCAAAGCCCAGCAATGCACCTGAGCTCTTACGCCCAGCTGAGCATCGTGCTGGACCTGAGCAAGGTCGTTCCCAGCTCTGCCCCTTCCCTTTGCCTGTGCTCCCACAGAGAGCCCCAGCCTGCTCCCATCCACATGGGTGACCCAGCCTGTCCTCTGGCCAGTGAACTGCTCTGTGTCCAGTGACCTAGGGAACCTTGGGTGCTGCACCAAAGAGATGGGAAGAGTTGCTGTATTTTTTGTAATTATGACAAAAGAGCTAAATTCTCTCATGTCTGGAAAAAGCAGCTGACTCATAGAGCCCATTCTAAAGAGTTTTCAGTTAAGAAATGAGGGAGATAACTGGACTGGTGTGGCCATGGCCAGCTCTCTTGTGGTCCCATCTGGGTCTCCCATTTCTTGAAGTATCTGTTTTTCCCTTTTTCTTTCCACAACCTTCCCTTTCCCCACCTCAGACTGGTGTCTCCCATTCCTCTCAAAGCTCTTGCTTTTGCTCTCTTTTCCTTGCTACACTTTTCCATATGGAATAGATGCTTAACCTGAAGCACTGCCAAGGAGATGTGAACTGGATTCTTCTTATGAGGGAGTAATTAAGCGGTGGCTCTAACAGTGACGTTGTGTCTGTGTCCCAGTAGCACTGTGACCAGGACAGAGCAAGGGCACCCATCAAAGGGCCTGGTCTGCAGAGCACTCCTGGCTGTGAAAGGCAAGAGCACGAGCTCAGGCCAGCCTAAGCGCCATGAGCAAGGGTTTGCCCTCCCAACTCACCTGAGTGCAGCTGACTTGTTTGTAGAGAGAGCAGGAATCCAAGAAAAGGCCTCTGTTTGATGCTAAAACCAGATGGAAAACCAGCATTAGAGTACATTTCCTTTTTTTCCCTATTGGATTGCTGTAACTGAAGGAATTTGGCATTTATAACTTTGCATTTCAGCTTGGAAAAAACCCTGTTTAACTTCCTGACCTATCCCCAGGTGTGAACTGGCTGTGTGTGCAGCACATGTCTCAGCACAGCCTGCTCCTCTCCAGCAGGGCTGTTCTGCCTCTCCAGGTGGCACCTGTGGCACTTTGGCCACATGATGGCAGATCTGCCAAGGAGACATCCCCGGGTGCCAGCCTTTGCTTCCTGGCACTGCCTCACCCACAGCAGTGCCCTGTCAGCCTTCCTTAGGGGTTGGTTCTCTCCAATTGAGGCACACACAGACATTCCTCTCAAAGCTGGGCCAGACCAGTGCATGCACAAAACTCTCAACTCTCATGGGAATGAAGAAGGGGAAGGAGACACTTAGGCTTTTCTTTTTTTTTTTTTTTTTTTTCTACCTGTTGTGCAGGCTGACACCGAGGCACACACTGGGCTCTGAGAGTGCCCAGAGCCAGACTGAGACCTGCATGGGAGCCTGGCTCTGGCACTTCAGTTTTCACCTCCCTTCCCTTGGGAAGTGCAGCCTCTCAGAAACTTCCTGATGGAAAGGATGTGCCAACCTCTCTGTAAGCCAAGTCCCTGGTCTTCATGCAGTTCAGGTTCATCTCTGCTGTAAGAACAGAGCCAGGTATCCCTCACCTGCCCTGAACATGCCCATGGCACTGCCTTCCAAGGCTCTTCATGCTTGTTGGTAATTTCCTGTTTAAGAGTCCAAGAAAACCTCATCAGGATTGAATGCCTTTGAATAACGTGCATTAAGTGCTTTGTGCTGTAATTTCTGTAAGGTTCAGCCCTTTGACAACAGATTCACAACAATTCTCAAATAAGCACTCAATAATGCTCAAACATGGGAATATCTTCAACACACAGCCTGGAGGGTACAGCCCTAGGAAACTCCAAATGTAAAGGTTTCAGTCACTGAATGTCACTGTCCTGTGTTCATCTGTGAACCCCACATGAAGGTCAGTCATAAACTCACGTGACCTCTGAACTGTGACTCAGTTCAAAGAGGGGATTTTACCTTACAAATCAAGGCAGGTGTAATGAAGTGATACCAGGATCTCTCTGCCTCTGACCTGCTTTTTCTGAATTTTTCTGACAACCATAAAAGTTCCTTCCCAGCATCTTCCACACAGCCTGCAGCATGAAATTTCTTTATTTACAAGGATTACTTAGTGTAAACAGTACTCACTGCATTTGAAACCTGTGACTTTCTCTGGAACCAAACTCACTTCTCTGTGGCACCAAGCTCCAAGGGCTGTACTGCAGAAAAGAGTCAGCATCCACCACAGTGCAGGTGCTGACACAGCTGCAAAAGGTGTTTAACTCTGCACATCTCTGAATTGGCAGCAAGATCTCAGAGCCTTAGAGCCACTTTGGGCCCACAGAAAGCAGTGGAGGAGCCTGGGCAGGGTCTGTCTCTGAAGGCTCTGCTGCTGCTGGTACCAATATACAGACCAATATTGTAACTGCTTGGTCAGGCCAGTAATATCAGAACAATTCTGTTTTCCTCCCCCTGTATGTCTGTCATGTCCCCAATGAGCACAGCAACATCTGAGCATGATTAAGAGCTCTAGGAAGGCAAATACCACTGCCAGTGCCAAAGCACCAGCTCCCCTGTGCTCATAAAGCCTTTTCTGCTTCTGCCTAACCCAGCACAGAAGGGTTCAAACCAGCACAGCAGTGCTGGGCACATCTGGAGCTGTGGCCATGAGCTGTGTGTGTCTAAACAGGAACACCTGGCAGGTGATTACCTGAGCAAGTGGCATTTAACCAGCAGCTGAGAGTGGGACACACAAATGCAGATACAGAACGCTTTGCAGCACCCTCACAGGGCACCCATCACACTCAGGAGTTAAGTTGGTAATTTTAATCTCAGCTGACTGAGAGCTCCCTGTGCCAGCTCAGCCTCCCCACCACAATCACCAGAAACAAGCAAAGCCACAGAGCTGGAGGCACCTGTGTGATGTGCTCAGGGACCCAGCCAGGCGTGCAGCCAGGTGAGCAGCAGGAAAAGAGCCTGGCAGGGAGGGCAGGGGCTGACCCTGCCAGCCTCTCCCTCACAGTTTGGGGTCTGCCTGACCCTGCAGCTCCTCCATGAGCCCCAGGAGCCTCTTCCACCCTGCTGCCAGTGGGGTTTGCACCGGGGCAAGAGGCAGAGCCCAGCAGGTCCCTGCACCCACCCCGGTGCCACCAGCCCTGCCCAGGCTTCCCCACACCTCCTGCAGCAGCAATGGGGTGCAGCTCCTCAAAACACACATCTGTGTGTCAGGCTGGTCTTCCCCTCGTTTCCTTGCTCGTTAAAATACTTGGGTAGCATCTTAGGAGGATTTAATGGTTACAGGCAGGCTACTTCTGAGCCAAAGAGGGGGACAAAAAAAAAGCAAGTAATAAAGCAAAATGTGGTAAAAACACCACGGGAGAGAGCTGTGTGCCAACTTTCAGACAAGCAAATGAATGCAGCCAATTTATAAATCCTTAACAAATAGGATTTACAATGGAAGTGGCAGTTAAGCCATCATGAGTACCAAAGGTGGCAGGCAGTGCTCTGTAATGCTGTCTGTGCTCTGCAGCAGCAGCTCAGCAGCATTGCTATTGGAGAAATTGTATTTACAGAAGTTTTTCATCTTTAGATGACAGCTCTTGGCAGGCTTTAGTCTAA